AAGAGAGACCGAGAGAGAGAGAGAGAGGGACAAGAAGGAAAAGGATGATATATTTACACACACCACACACGCATATATATATATATAGATATATATATATATATATATAATATATATATATATATATATATATATAATATATATATGATATGTTTGCTCCTGTCAAAGTTTGTAGTAGACTTCCAAAAATACATTTAGATAAGAGGATTCTAAGCCTCGAATGTCAACATAACGCGAAGTCTGTTATCATTCTTTTTCACGCAAAGCTTATTACATGTGCAGACAAAGCGAGAAGGGATGTAATAGGATCAGAAGCCGCCAGCTTCGTCGCCTGCAGACCAAACAGTGGCGGTCGGCTCCATCACAACACCATTAGCCCGCCGTTCCCTGGAGGGAGCCGACGGACTGGCCCAGCAGCCCCGCAGCAGCCGGCCCCGTCCCGGCTCTAGCGGCGGACGGCGACCGCGGGAGGCAGTGGCAGCCCGCGGCAGCAGCAGCGCGGCAGCCCCGTCCCGGCGCTAGCGGCGGACGGCGACCGCGGGAGGCAGTGGCAGCCCGCGGCAGCAGCAGCGCGGCAGCCCCGTCCCGTCTCTAGCGGCGGACGGCGACCGCGGGAGGCAGTGGCAGCCCGCGGCAGCAGCAGCGCGGCAGCCCCGGCCCGGCTCTAGCGGCGGACGGCGACCGCCGGGGGCAGCGGCAGCCCGCGGCAGCAGCAGCGCGGCAGCCCCGGCCCGGCTCTAGCGGCAGACGGTGACCTCGGCAGGCAGCAGCGGCCAGCGGCAGCGGCGGACGTTGACCTCGGGGGGGGGGAAGGGGGGTTGTCACGGCGGCTATCCTGCGCCGGCATCTGCATGAAAAGGAACTGGTGGAGGGATGTGCGACCGGTGACGCGTTCAAGCGGAGCTTTGGTGCAAAGATGCTCATTTCCGCAATGAGATAGTTTTTCATTTCCAATGAAAAAGCGGGCGGCTATGACAGACTAAGTTCAGAGTTAGAAATGGCCTATGCCTTGGTCAAATCGCGCAACGAATCGAAATAAAACCGAGACTGAAACACCCTATATATTGAGCACCCTTTCGCGCGGCATCCACATGTGACGCGAATGGACAGGCCCGGTGATGTCGTTTGCGATAGCTGTTTTTCTGGACTTTTCCATGTGTCTCACAAAGACTTGTTAGAAAAAGGACATTATTTATTTAAGTGAAAAATTGTATTCCAACTAATCGTTAAGAAGTGTACCTATGACGCCTATGGTATAGTGTATATATGGTATATGGGTATATATGCTATATATGGTATATAGGTACGCCTATGGCGTACCTATGGCGCCCTTTGCAACGTCATTCACGATCATCCCGGCCAAGCTGTCTGCTCACGGGCTTGTTTATGATTATACTCATGGGTTAATCTGATATCCAAAATAACGACCAGATGTGCATTCATATACAATCTACCATGTCTATTTGAAATGTTTCAATGCTCTCGTTATCGTTCATTCCACCCTTTGTGATGTTCACCGTCATTAGAATTTATTCTGAGATGATGACTGTAAACAGTTACGCCGAATGGCTGTTGGAATAACGAAGCGTTAGCTCGTTACTGTACTTGTGCCAACTTTCCAATGCATTTAATCGGAACTAAACACGTCTAGCCTCTGCCAGCACATTATTCGCCTTGTGTAGCTCTTTCGCTTTTACTCGCTCACACGCTTTGTGCAGGCATTTCAGGCTTGCTAACTTAAATCAATCTTCACAGCTACGCGGCACAACTTAAGGTCAGAGGGCACATCACTTCAAAGAACACTAACTCAACATTTGTCTCTGGCGGCTGTCGGGGCGCGCACGCTGGCATTGGCCGCTGCCGTCGGCGGCCAGCGCGCGTCTCGCGCCGCCGGCCGCGCTCGCCGGCACGGACCGTCGATGCGGCGCCCCCGCAGTGGCCACGTCGACGTCCGAGCCGTCGGTCGTCGGAGCCGACGGGGCTCAGTGCGGGGACGCCTCGGCACCCGGCCGGCTGCCTGGACTGGCACCTACGGCGGAGCGGGACGCAGCCTGCCGCGCCTAGAGCACTCCGCGAGCTCGCAGGACGAGGTGCGTGTGCGTGTGTGTGCGCGCGCGCGCGTGTGTGTGAGTGTGTGTGCGTGCAGCTTCGTCGCCGCCTTTGACAGTGCTGCGTTGCGTGTCTTGCTGTTGGATCCAACGCACAGACACAGTTCAGTCTCTATCCGATGTTGCTAAGGTTTACAAACCTGCAGGTTTCTCTATGATCACGGCGACAGGTCTCGTCCCCGGTCGCGGTGCCCGTGTCGATTAAAATAGCTTCGAAGTTGACGTTTTCGGTCAGATTCCTGTAACGCACAGCCCTGTCCCCAACTGCTGGCTTGTGCACCCTCCAGCAAGCTAGGGCCGCTGGAGTCAGGCCTCATATTCAGTAACACTGGCCGGCAACAGGCTGCGTGGATGGTAGCGCCCGCCAATGATGATTGATGGCGCTGATTCGTGTGGAGGGACCCGGTCGGACTATTGATGTCCGTTACCTCCGTGGCGGCCGCCATTGTGCGAGCCCAATTATAAGTCGACCTGCTCATGGCCCCCTGTGGCGATGCCAGGCACAAACATGAAACGCGGCAATGCTATTGGCTGGACAATTACGTGTTTGGGGTTCATGATCTATGTGCTGTGCCTGATCCTCGTCATCCTCATGGCATTGCACAGCTTGAAGCAAGACTTTGAAAAGAAGGGGAGTATCGATCCTCAGCGCAAAATCGAAACGCCCTCTGATGATTTCCCTTGGGAATGCGTGCAAGATCCGCTGCAATAGCGTACGCCCAAAACGGCCACTCAACAGTACTTCGAGAAACGTTAAGATATCCTGAAGCGTTTGGCCAGTGCCAACAGTCACATTAGATATTCATACAAGTTTCCTGCTCCGAGTACGAAAAGGGTTGACTGGAAGCACGATTCCTTCGAGTTCGGAGAGCTCGCTACATTGAATTGGGACGGATGCGCGCGGATGTTGTGAACCGCAATGTTGATGGAACTGCCATCCGAGCTCTCCCAAACAATCGAGCGATGTTTTTCGCGCTGGCCTGCGAAACCTTCGTGTGGTGACGGCGCGAACAACTGAAGCCTTTGTGAACTGCGCATGCGCGTGCCCCTGGTATCTACACTTCATTGCACAATTTACTTAATGCATTTCTGTTACGACCAGAAAACATCAAATAATCGCGTGAACCCTCAAGGATGAGTAACAGGATGCAGAATAATATTCGCCAACGTATAAATACTGAACTAGGTATCGCGGAAGGCTTCATCGGCTTTCCCTGTGGAACTGAGATCAAATCTTGAAATATGCGCAGGTCACGTCCGTCTACGCTGCCGTCACCCCGCACCCTCACCGCCGTCGCTCCGGTCCCACGCTGCCGTCGCTCCGGTCCCACGCTGCCGTCGCTTCGGCACTCTTACCGCCGTCGCTCCGGTCCCACGCTGCCGTCGCTTCGGTACACCTACTGCCGTCGCTTCGGTACCCCTACTGCCGTCGCTCCGGTCCCACGCTGCCGTCGCTCCAGTCCCACGCTGCCGTCGCTCCGGTCCCACTGCTGCCGTCGCTTCGGTACCCCTACCGCCGTCGCTCCGGTCCCACGCTGCCGTCGCTCCGGTCCCACGCTGCCGTCGCTCCATTCCCACTGCTGCCGTCGCTTCGGTACCCCTACTGCCGTCACTCCGGTCCCACGCTACCGTCGCTTCGGCACTCTTACCGCCGTCGCTCCGGTCCCACGCTGCCGTCGCTCCGGTCCCACGCTGCCGTCGCTCCGGTCCCACTGCTGCCGTCGCTTCGGTACCCCTACCGCCGTCGCTCCGGTCCCACGCTGCCGTCGCTCCGGTCCCACCTGCCGCCTCCTCATTCCCACTGCTGCCGTCGCTTCGGTACCCCTACTGCCGTCACTCCGGTCCCACGCTACCGTCGCTTCGGCACTCTTACCGCCGTCGCTCCGGTCCCACGCTGCCGTCGCTCCGGTCCCACGCTGCCGTCGCTCCGGTCCCACTGCTGCCGTCGCTCCATTCCCACTGCTGCCGTCGCTTCGGTACCCCTACTGCCGTCGCTCCGGTCCCACGCTGCCGTCGCTTCGGTACCCCTACTGCCGTCACTCCGGTCCCACGCTACCGTCGCTTCGGCACTCTTACCGCCGTCGCTCCGGTCCCACGCTGCCGTCGCTTCGGTACCCTTACTGCCGTCGCTCCGGTCCCACGCTGCCGTCGCTTTTGTACCCCTACTGCCGTCGCTCCGGTCCCCCGCTGCCGTCGCTTCGGTACCCCTACTGCCGTCGCTCCGGTCCCTCGCTGCCGTCGCTTCGGTACCCCGACTGTCGTCGCTCCGGTCCCCCGCTGCCATCGCTTCGGTACCCCTACTGCCGTCGCTCCGGTTCCCCGCTGCCGTCGCTTCGGTACCCCTACTGCCATCGCTTCGGTACCCCTACTGCCGTTGCTCCGGTCCCACGCTGCCGTCGCTTCGGTACTCCTACTGCCGTTGCTCCGGTCCCACTGCTGCCGTCACTTCGGTAACCCCACTGCCGTCGCTTCGATACCTCTACTGCCGTCGCTCCGGTCCCATTGCTGCCGTCGCTTCGGTACCCCTATCGCCGTCGCTTCGATACCTCTACTGCCGTCGCACCGGTCCCACTGCTGCTGTCGTTTCGGTACCCTACTGCCGTCGCCCCGGTTCCTCTGGTACCGTCGCTCCGGCTTATCGGCTGCCGACCAGCATCCACCGGTCCGTTCCATGTTTTTCGATCCACTTCATGCATGGGGTTCAGTAACAGAAGGTCTTGAAGAGAATGCCGATTATAGGGGGTTGACATGGATGGGATCAGACAAGGGACCAGGACTTCGCAGTCGTATCATGTTCGCAAAGTTCCAAACATATCCGTCGGCATAGATCCTAACTACCACGCACCTGTGCCTATTCGCTGAAAAGGAAACACCGCCGTCTTCACCAACGCGTCATTTGTTCTTGCCACTAAAGCTCTGTTGGCAGAAACAACGGCTTAAACACGACGCGGAAGGTGGCGCTGCCGCGACACGTTCGGCCGGACTGCCAACTGATTTATGGATTTTATCGCTCGCCCTTGGATGTCGCCAGTCAATACCCACCTGATATATCGGAGTGGGGCCGGCGGCGACCGCACCGACGTCAAGTACGCCCGCTTTCACACAGTAGATGGCGCAGCGACCAGGTGTACTCACAAGTCTGGTGTCATATCTATTATGTGTATGTGCTCAGATCTAGTTCAGATCGCAGTCTAAGTCAGGACTCTCGTGACTGACATGTACATAACACAAATACATCGTTAAGTGTCACGTGATCATCACTGCCCATTGAACGCCTGTTCGTTTGAGCCAGTTTCTGACACATTCATTAAATCTTTCATCATCTTTCATTCTTTATTAAATCAACATCAAGGTGAACTAGGCCGAAGGCTCTTTTAGGCCACATTTCAACTCCATCTGCAACAGCCGAGGTTGACTCTGATCCCCTTTACGCCAAATGCATGCATACCACGACCTCGCCTGAGCCGACTGACTTAATCTTATCGTTGTCCGAGACCGATCCCCGTAGGGGGTGTTAAATGAGTAGCTCGATTTAGCTCAGACTGTCTGCAGTTCGATTCACCGACGGCCGTTGTTTCGAGATAACATGAGAGCGGGCACCACCGGCCGCTCTCAGACGGGGCGCACGGGGCTGGCGCGTGTGGCCACGCGCACACACTCCAGCGGGGCGTCACGCTGACCCCGGTGTAACGCGTGAGTGCTGCTCCAAGTGGCCGTGGATCTGGTGCGGATCTGGTGTGGATCTGACCGTGGATCTGACCGTGGATCTGGTGCGGATCTGGTGCGGATCTGACCGTGGATCTGGTGCGCACGGCTCGGGCGACGGGACTGGGCGGACCAGACAGATGGCAGCGTGCGTCTCACGAGTGCAACATGTGTCTCATAAGTGCAACATGTGTCTCATAAGTGCAACATGTGTCTCATGAGTGCAACATGCGTCTTATGAGTGCAGCATATGTCTGCAAAATTAGTGCAACATGTGTTTCATGAGTGCAACATGTGTCTCAAGAGCGCAACAGTGCGTCTCAGGAGTGCAGCACGCGCCTCGTGAGTGCAGCATGCATCTCAGGGGGCAGTATGCAGCTCATGATTGCAGCATGCGTCTCATGAGTGCAGCATGCGTGTCATGTGATGATCTGGTGGTCATCTCACGGCTCGGTCACAACATTGTTGTTGGTTTAAGCTGTCATAACGAGCGTTGGGGCTTGCCAGAGCGTAAGCAGGGTTCTGTAACGTGCACGCTTGACCTATATCTTCCCCGAGGCTGAGTACAGCCGAGTGCAGGCCTGTGCAAGGGACGGACCGGCCTGACTCGGCCTGACCCGGCCTGACCCGGCCTAACCCGGCCTGAATCGGCCTGACTCGGCCTAACTCGGCCTGACTCGGCCGGAACCGGCCTGACTCGGCCTGACCCGGCCTGAGCCGGCCCACTCCCCCAGCGAACCCAGAACGGCCAGCTGTTCAGTTGGCGCCTGCCCCGACCGACCCAGTGCCTCAGCTGAAGGAACAAATCACGCTGCGAGCGGCCCATGAAAAGAGAACAGCGGAATTCAGCGAGAACAGCGGAAGATCGTCGGATGATTCCGAGAATTGTACGGACCCTTGCAGACAATACGGCTTGCTAATTTGACAGCTGAGGTCAAATAAGGTACGGTGCTTTCGGTACATAACATTCCAAACAGAAGCAGCGGCACGTGCGACCATGCACACGGTCAGTGGAGGACACCAAATGGAGCCAAAAGTGGCGCGACGGTGACTTTGCCAAACGGCACAGCTGATCAAAAGGCACAAAGCCAACGCTACTAAATCATGAGCCGGTATACGTGAGCAGCCGCTCAACACAGCTAATGGAGCATTTGCTTTTAGAGAGGTCATCACGTGTCCCGGGTCTACTGTAAGCGGTTTGACACCTGGTGTAGCAGGCCGGCTTCAGACACTGGTTCCTTGGGCGCCAAACTGTGGCTCTGGGTCGCCCTAGCGTGATCCCAGAGGATACCCGACTGCCTCCAGAGGCCGGGCCGCGGAGGCACACTGATAGATGCGTTAGTCTAAGTACCATTAACCTTACTGATGCACACAGCAGTCAAGAGGGCTGTGGAAGAGCGGAAGATCGTCAAACAGCCAAAAAGGACAAAGGCCTCCCTCGAAGATCGGAAGGAAAGAAAACGGGCAAAAGCCATGAAGGAATGGCAGCTAGAGAAGAATCCAAACTAAACTGGAAAGAAAGGTTCTGCGTAGCTCCAATGAAACAAACTCGACTGCCGGTTATGCGGGGGGGGGGGGGGGCGAGCGCAGATGACGTCTGTGTGATTAGGGCGCATTGCTTACGCACTGATAACAGGTGATCTACGCCTGAAACCATGGCTTTTTCAAACGCAGAGAACCGCAGGGGAGATCGGGTCTGTCTCCATTTCTATTCACATAATTTCGACGTACTCGCGATCTCAAATATTTGTCCGATTTTTGTTCCCTTATGCTGCATAAGCATTTGCGCATTTCAGAACAATTGAGCTGCGTCTGGCTTTAATGCCCGTGCCGATTCAGGGTACCAAGGAGATGTTTTGTGTGAAAATTTGTCCGTTGCATAGGCAATTTGTCACATATGAGGTTAGCCGTCTTGTGCTACTAGATTTGGATGGCGATCTTTACCTAATATTTGTCAAAACAATTCTGATCGAGCCCTAATATGCTCGATAGTGAAGAAGAATGACGTTAGCAGACTAGTAAAGTTGTTCATAGGAGATTTACGCTAAATGAGACCGTACAATATCTATGTAACATTCCAACGGTTGAATTTCTGCGCAATACATTATCTATGAATCAAAGATATGCCGCAATCGCTTAAAGCTGAACACAAAAACGATTTTTCCTAAATGCAAGAAAAAAAACAAGCGTGAAGTTTCCCATTCAAGTGGGAAAGGAGGGGAGGAAGTCGAACAGCTAACCCACCTTTGAGATGGGCGGATAAATCAATTTCGTCATGTATTGTCAGAGTTGGTTAAGCCATTGCTTCCTGCTCAGTACCCCACCTCAACTGCGACACTACACCCCTGAAGCAAACATCACTGCCAGAACGTACCATTATCGAAAAGGAAAGTTTGATAGCTTCTTGGTTGGCCGAAACACTCCAGATCACAATGCTGACAGACAGTTGGTCAACGTATTTAAGACCGCTTAAGATCACAACGCTGACCTCATCTGCACAGTAGCCCCCACGCTTCACTGACCCGCGAGTCGGTGAATAATCACGTGTGGATCACGCAGAACATTTCTCTATCGCCCTATTCAGATTCTTCTCGAGACAACGTCCTCTTACGCCCTTTATCTGCCTTCTTTTCCTTCGATCTCTGAAAGAGCACTGTGTCGTTTTGAACGGCTTCAGGGCCTACGCAGCCTTCGAGAGCTCTCTTACTGGGCGTCAGTATTGCTGACGCGCCCTTTCTTCGACCATTGCTTGCCGGCTTCCGCCGTCCGGTTTTTGGGAACGGTCGGTTGCTTACTGGGGTCAAGGCTATAATACCAACGTATAGCTACGATTTGGCGCTCCACGAGTTCATTTTCGAAGCCGGTCTGTTTCATCAAAGGATGGCGAACAGTTCCCAGCCGACCTGAGACGTGTGATAGTCTTTCTGGATACAACTCGATCTCTTGCATCACGTCACAAAACCTCTCGTTAAGCTCCGCCCCTCCCCCTCTCTCTCTCTCTCTCCTCTCTCCTCCTTCTCTCCTCTCTCCTCCTCTCTCTCCTCTCTCCCTCTCTCATCTTCTCTCTCTCTCTCTCTCTCTCTCTCTCCCTCTCTCTTTCTCTCCTGCCCTCTCGCTCGCCGCTCGCTCTCTTTTCCCATGGACCGATCGCAACGTGAACCGGAGTCTCAGAGAAAGCCGGGTACCACCGGTTCTGTCAGCTTGACACAGGTCGGTCCGGGTCCTCACCAGCCGAAGGGCTTCGTCGGTCTAAGTTTGCTGGCCGAGGGACTGGGCGGGGTTAGGTGGGCCAGCCTGGTGCGCGGGGACGAACTCAGCCTGTGGGAGATTTCCGAGTCGAATGAATGCGTTACAGCACCTCGCTTGCTGATCGGCTAAGTACGCGCACGGTAGTGCGTAGTAGGAGCAGTGCATGATACGACAGGCTTGGGTTGTCGGGCTCCAAGCTGGTAGTCCTTCCACTGAGGCTACCATTGGGGCTAGTTATCACCTTGACAACAGGCCCCAACATGACTGCTGACCACGTGACCCAACGGACATCTTTCGGACAGAGTGCACGCCACGAATCATGACATCCGCATTGATCACCACATGAAAAACGTCCTTCACTGCATCTAATTAAGCAGAAATGTCTCAACAAAGCGTCAAACAAAACTAACGCACGGATGAGAGCACTTGGGGAAATTAATGAAATCACACACAAGTTTAATACCTGCTGTCCTCATCCGTCTACACCGCGCACACGGACACCATTAATACAGGGGACATGTTACCAAGATAATGATGGTTAGATTATATTTTAATCTGTTCTTTCAATCGTGTTATACATTCTGCCACGGCCTATGGCACGTGACATGCGGCATCTAGCCTACCCAGGTACGGGACATATCGCCACACAAAACTCTTTATGCCGTGATATCCGGATGGCCATTGAATTTGGGCGCAGTACGATTTTTCTCAAATTCGCAAATGTGCATGCGGCATAGGGAACAAACAAAAAACCTTAATACCTTGGGTCGTAAATGCCACGGAGTTCTTTGATCAAAAAGGGCGACAGCTCGCCCCTGTTCCCCCTAGATGGGCTCGAGATTTCAGGATTGCATTTGAGAACTGTGAGCTCCAAATTTCCTAACTCTCTCTCCATAACTCCATATCTAATGTGCCCCATGGGCAAATGCCATTATATTATTATAAACGCATGCCATTGATATAAACATAAGTCACATTTCCTCTTAGCTGATCAAACTTATCCGATTTGTTTTATCATTGCATGCATCGTAAGTGTGAGCAGTCCAAATCCTGCGCAAAAACTAATTCAACGAAATTCCCACACTCATTTAGCGCGATAGTCCAATTCTTGGGTACAAATGCAGCCTTTAAGTGTTCGGACCTGGTCGAGACAAATTTTGTTGTTAAAGGCACTAAGTTGTGGCGTGCTATGCTCGTCAATATGAGGCTCTCAGTTTTACTAGTGGTTTTCTCTTAACGATGTTTTCATTTACAAAGCTCTTCCTTCATACGGGCTTAATTGGAGAGCAATAACACATGTTGGTAGTTACATTTTGAGCGTGACATTACTCCACAGTATCATGATTGAAGATCAAGTGCAAAATTGACAATATAAAAGTGCTGGGGTTCTGCTGGGATTGAAACAAATGAGAAGATTTAGACCTCCCTGCAGCAAGAAAATTCGAAGATATTCCGCTCGAACTAATCTATTCAACGGTTGACATCATGCAGACAACTGATAGGACTACTAAGTAACACGACCTATAACAGCAAACATTAAAACATCCCACATTCGTCACAGATGAGGATCATTCTGCAGCACGAAATTCGCAGCATTTAAGCTCAGTACACATTGTCAATGATTGTTGGGTTTCATACAGCATTGCGCAACATGATGCGTACATTGCGTTATTGGGTTAATATGAAACGATCATTAATATAGGTTCAGTCTAAAAATACAATCTCTCTTTTCAGACATGTTTTTCAACACTTCAATTCGTGGCTTTGATGGCATGGGTGGTACAATTGTGTATCCTCGGCATAAAGTCCTTTATTTCTTTCCCTCCATAAACTGCAGGCTTCTGCTCTCTCAGCCAAGTTGGTGGAGTCGGCAAGTTTAGTCCGTGACAGATGTCAGCGTGGACTCGTCACCACTGCCCGTCGCTGCGGACATATCCTCCGTATCTTCCTCTTCCTCTTCGTCGCTGTCTCCCTCCTCCCCTTCATCGTCGTCTCCCCCCTCCTCTGTGTCGTCCGGTGTGGTTGTGTCCTCTACAGTGTCGGCACCGCCGGTGGAACTCTCCCCGTCCGCCTGCTCCCCTCCACCGCCTGACGTCTCTCCCGCGTTCCCCTCCGCGTCCTCCGCGTCCTTCGCGTCACCGCCGAGCAGCGGCTCGCGCTCGTCGGCGTCGTCGCGTCGGCGCGGCCAGAGCGGCACCAGCCAGCCGGGGGCCGGCGACAGATGCCGGCCCGCCTCCAGCGCGTTCGCCACCGACGACTGAGCGTAGCGTGCGAGCACGGCCGTCAGTAACTTGAGCGCCGCCACGGCCAGCGCCGCCCGACCGGCCACGAACAGATACCAGGTGAAGAAACCGGGCACCCGCGAGCTGCAGCCGGCTGTGAAGATGGTCAGGTTCTGCGGCGGCGTGTAGGCCGGCATGGGCTCCGTCAGGTGCATCTGCCGACACCAGAACGGCGACGCCGGGTCGCAGCAGCTGAACGGCACCTCGGCGAAGCCCAGACGCAGTTTGGCCTCCAGCAGGTCGTGGTCCAGCTCCTGGTGACGCAGCTCGCCGTCGATCGCCGCCAGCACGAGCTCGGCGTGCTCCGCGCTGCCGTACTGGTCCATCGCGAATGACGCCTGCAGTGCGCTGTGGTCCTGGCGGCCGCGTGCGGCGAGCTCGTCGCGCAGCCGCACGCTGCTGAGGTAGCGGGCGATGTAAAGGCCGAGCGGATACCAGTCGATCACGAACCAGTCGGAGAAGCCGAGCGAGCCGCAGCACTGGTACCGGCTCTGCGTGCGGTCGATGTACTCCTTCAGCGGCGCCGAGTCGACGTAGCGCCACAGGGCGCGCGAGAAGCCGACGTGGTAGACGCCGCGGAAGGCGCGCAGCCGGGCCTCCAGCAGGATGGTGAGCGTGACGAGCAGCGCGGCCGTCGCCAGCTCCAGCAACACGTACAGCCGACCGAGCGGCAGCGCCGCGCGGCGCCGCGACTTCCCGCGCACGCGCACCGCCAGCACCCAGAAGAGGCCCAGCGCGCTGTCGAGGAGGACGGCGGCGCCGGCGGCCGTCAGCAGCTGCTGCTCGCGAGGCAGCGCGGTACCGCCGGGCAGCACGACGGCGTGTTCATTCAGCCGCGGGCGTAGGTAGGCGCAGAGCGCCAGCAACAGCAGGCCGGCCTGCGCGCCCAGCACGTTCAGCAGCAGCAGCAGCGTCAGTAGCGCCTGTCGGCAGCCCTCGGACACCGTCAGCGACGGGCAGCCGCGGCTGGCGGACGCCGCGGCCGACATCGCGATTGCAGCGCCGCCCCGGTAGACGGCGGCGAGGCTGCGAACTACGGGGCGGCGACACCGCCACGGCACGGAACAGCTGCTGAACGACCAGACGGAATCGTTAATGCAAGTTTTAACAAGCCCCTTGGGCAGGTACAAAGCTTAAAGCTTTTAAAAGCTGCTACTGAGCCTCATATGTGGATGACGTTTAGAAGCAGCATCTACTATGACTCGCAGGAATTGTGGGTCGGCTTTATGGATCCACTCAGGGCCACATAAGTACCAACTTAAGTACCCACTCAGTGCGACAGGTCTCACCACAAATGCCACTCAGTGCTTGATATTATTGAGCACGGCTCGTGCCTTGTGCATGTGAAGCACCTGCGTTGTCTTATTTCTCGACAGTGCATTGGTTAAAAAACCACACGGCTGTGGCAAACTGAGACGGAAGCACCACAAGACACGGTTCTCTCATCCGGGACCTTTTTGGGCTTCTGAATCACGTGGGACGCGCAGCTGGCGAAATCCAGTTCGCCTGTTCGTGTCCGTTTGATGCATGCAGATGCCACCGGCTCTTCCCTCAGGCGATGGTGTTATGCTTTTTACTGGCAAGTTTGAAGTCGGGCAAACTAACAGATGTTTCCTAGAGTTAACCATACAGTGTAAACGAAAACAAAATGGTCCTATATAAGTTCACAGTGGCCGTAAAACCAGCTAATTCCAATAAAGGTATGCACCAGTTTGATTGGCACAGTCATAGTTGTCAGCAATATATAGTCGATCCACATGGCACATGTTCAATTTGAGGATAGTCACAGTGTAAAGTCAACCACACATGAATAGGCTCGCCTCGCATGAAGAGGCTCGCCCGTCGGTTGCGTTTAGCAAAACAAGCATGTGTTAGCTGTTACCTGGAGCCGAATCCGTGGCGGGCATGCTTAGTAAATGCTGCAAAAGAATTCAGGTTTCCCTCTTTTACAACATTATCATACCCTCAGAAACACGCATCTAGAGATGAAGGTTCTAGGCAGGGCGGCAAATGTGCATTTTCTTGCGCGAAACGCCAAAATGATAAGCAAGTAAAATTTTTGAGTTAAAATATAAAGTGTCGAACATTATTGTTTTGTCTGTAACCGTGGGGCCCACCGCCATATGATAACACAATTATAAAGGCCAGCCTGGGGGTAGCTGAGCACTGCCCCGACGCTTGAGTTTCCAAGAACCAACTCGGAGCCTGAGACGGCACGGCACATAATGCAATCTCCGTACAGAGGCTGCATAGCATAACAGAGGAGCATAATGCCGTCCAGCCGTACGGAGCCCGGCTCACCGCTGCCGGGTATGGAGGGGTGCGGCGGAGGAGCTGCGGCACCGGCCGGCCGGGCTCGGCGTATTTCAGGGCGACCGCCGCGGCCGTTCCCGGTACTCTCCGGTCGGGCGGAGCCGCCGCGGATAACGTGATTAATTAGCTCTGATGCCGCCCTCATCAGGAATGCAGCGCGACCGCCGGCGCCGCCGCCCAGCTGATCAGCCGGGGTACGCCGCCGCCGTGAAGCCGAGCACGGCACGCGCGGGGTGGACCGGGTGCCGCGCCGCGCGGGGTAGACCGGGGTGCCGTGCCGCGTGGGGTGGACCAGGGTGCCGTGCCGCGCGGAGTGGGCCCGGGTGCCGCGCCGCGCGAGGTGGACCTGGGTGCCGCGCCGCGCGAGGCAGACCGGGGTGCCGCGCCGCGCGGCGTAGACCGGGGTGTCGCGCCGCGCGAGGTAGGCCGGGGTGCCGCGCCGCGCGGGGTGGGCCGGTGTGCTGCGCCGCGCGAGCTGGCTCGATAACAGCGGAAGAGCAGCGACCACTCGGAGGCTCTGATTGTGGATATAGCTATCGTTACTGGGCTGACTGAATCCGTATCGACAGTGAATGAGTGAGTGGGCAGTTTCATCTGACCAGCAAATTAATGTCCTGCTATGTTTGTGTATGAATGGGGAGGCTATTCCATCCCAGCGAGTTTTTTGCGGACTGCGGACAAGTGATCAGCAGCTGCTGCACGCAACTGCGTCGAAAATTGCCTAATTTTCATGCGGTTTGAGGGGCATTACGATGGCTAGCGCTGCTGACGGTGGCCAGTTGTTTTGGTGCAAAATGTAGATAAAGAAAATGTAATACTTTGTAGCGTAATATGCATGCAGATATCGCCAATAACCAGTCCTCGAGAACTGGCTAACTTATAAAAGGCTGGCTGGCGGAGCAGTGACACGTAGCTTTAGATAATGTGTGTGGAAACGTTCTGTGGTGTAATGATGGAAGTGCTGTATCCAAGGTAGCCGATGGAGGATTTCCGTCTGGCTTTCAGGTGTTGGATTACTTAGCGTTTATGGCCGGATCTATTTTCTTGGCTTCTCATCAGCACTCCTACTCTTCTTTCTGCCTGAAAGACGTGGCCCATACATGCCAGTGTTATAAACGCTAAAGTTTCCGTTGCACCGCCTTTCTGATTAGTTCGGAGCGTACTGTCTGAAATCAAATGGCAAATGAATTGAGGATGTTACATTTCACATGCTGCTTGCGAAGCGCTGTTGAATCATGCGCATTAAAAATTGCTCAATTTAGCCAAAAAGCAAGTAAACGATAGAAAACAATCAATTGGAAACGCACTGTCATATGGTGATTTGCTGTTTTCCTTATCCAGCAAAGCAAAACTTACTGTATCAAATTTGATATCCTTTGGCATAGTCCGACACCGCTTTTCATCGAATTTTTCAAACATTTCTTGTTCTATGAACTCATCCGGATCAGTCTGGGTATTCTGATTGCGAAAACAGGTTTCAAGGCTTATCCTTCAAGGTTTCAGCTATATCGTCTATAATTTGCTTTCGATCATACAATGTGTCTTCACTTCGCTGACATTCCAAAACGGCTAAGTCTTGTGGCTGTTAAACCCACCATTTTTCGCCAGCTGTTGGATGTTGCCGCCGTTCTGAGGTTAAGTATTGGTATCTCATAGAACAGCGAATCTTTTTATAACTGAATCTTCCGCGACTGATCTGCTTGCATACAACTTCAAAATCCTCGGAGGAATAAACAAGCAAGTACACAACTGAACACCGCTTTAGATCATCCTAATAAGAAATGGGTACAAACTTTCTCGCAGAAATGAAAAAATTGAGTTCCATTTTCCTCTCCCTTCTTTTGATTTGAAACGTTTCGGCGCATTGTTATCAGTGAACGATCTGCTCTGGATGACCTTATATGGCCTCTCATGGTCTGCATCGACCGTCCCGGTATTCAGAATTGAGCATACCCTCCGTCTGGCTTCAGCTAGTATTACTGATTGTTTTATCCCGATCATTTCACAACTTGAATTGAAACATGCTTTGAACAGATCCGTAATGACCCTTGGATATCTTAATGGTGCCTAGGTATCATATCAGCATCCTCGCACATGGAAAATGGACCATGGCGTTTGTGAATCCGCGGAAAGATCGCTGTTAGCCTTGCTCAAGTGCATTCGTTCGGAAAAGGTCACGTAGCGTGACGTGACCCAACCTGTGCTGGAAGTCACAAGGGCATCAATGGGCTTCCCAGTGTAAGGTTTCAATAATAGTCAAAAAATTTGGGCATGTACATCCACTCATTTTCATATTTTGTAGCCTTTGCCTATCTCAAGATTCACATGCTGCCAGAGCTTGGTGCACTCTTGTCATGTCTCTCGGCGAGATTTGTTGTCATTTTCACCTTGCTGACATTTACCTTGGCTGGTGTGAGAACCAAGATGTCAGCCACTCTAAGCTCTCTCCGGCGCGGTGAAGGCGGCACCGGAGACGGGTGCCGCGCAGACTGCTAAAATGTTCTCAAATCAGGAGCCTGAAAAGAAAAAGAAATAAGCCCTGCTTTGAAGAGATGCTGATTTTTAGTGGATATAAATGTTCAGATAATATCATACATGTCGCGTGTGCTTGCGGGACTCGCCCATAACCGCTATTAACGCCACTGCCTGTGCGCCGCCACGCCAGCCCGCAGAGGGCCGGTTTCCGTTCCGCTGAAAGCCTCGCTGCGGCGCGGGAGCCCGATGCCGCTGTTGTTCGGCTGCGCCGGCCGCCGTCCCTCAGCAGGGCGCCATCCTCCTGGGTCGGCCGCGCTGACGCTCACGAGCAGCGCGAGAGCTCGGCACCGCCGTTGTTCGGCCGCGTCGGCCCCATCCCTCAGCAGGGCGCCACCCACCTGGCACGGCGCGGCTGACGCTCACGAGCGGCGTGGGAGGCGGCGCGGCTCCTCGACACGGCCGTTTGTAAGCTGGCGACGACGCCGCTGAGTCCACCGATGGCGATCGACCGCGGTCTGCGGCGGCGGCGGCGGCGGCGGCGGCGGCGGCCCGGCCCGCGCCAGGGCTGGCCGCGCGCGGGGGATGCCCAATGAAGCGGTCAGCGGCACCGACCGACGCGGCTCGTTAGAGCCGACCGCTGCCGCTCGCCGGCGCCGACAGCGGCGGCGGCTTTGGAAGCCGAGCGGAGAGGGGTGGGGGGGGGGGGGGGGAGGGGGTCGGAGGCCGGCCAATGCAGGTCGAGGGCCGCTGTTAGGGCGCTGTTCCAAAGGCCGAGACCCGTGTTAGTTAAACATTGGTAATGTCAACTCGTGCATGATGGATGACTGCAAACCTTTCAGTATGGTATATAAACTGTTGTGTGTTGATGTGGATGTGTGGTTGCATGCATGCTTCGATACACTTATTGGTCTAAGCGCCTCTGTGTAAATGTACACGCGTTGCTGCTTATTTGTTTATACGCATGGCTGTTTATCTAAATGTAAATGTTAGCATTTATGTATAACTGAACGTGTACATGACTGGTGTGTTGATAAATCAACACTCGCATCTTCGAGATAAAACACACGTGTCGTCAATCGTCAACTTTTTGCACCATTCACGCTTGTGGTGGGTTCGGCGCTGCTGGCTTCGTTGGAAACATAGGACAAACGTCACAGAGCAAGGGCTCGGTCCGATCCGTGCTTTGTTCACATACGGCCACCTGTTGGCCAGGCTTATCAACCATTAATCGGCTTCCCGCGGCGCACGCGGCATCTGGCAAATTCGTCACAGGGCTAAGGTCGTGCCATATATGATGCTTCATTTAGAGTTCAAAAGTTGATTTATTTCTTTCAAGGTTTTAAGGGCCATCAGCCATTAATGGGTTGGCCATTAGCCCTATTAGAACCTTGTAAAGTACCAAGGGCGTAGTGGTTGTCTTGAATGCCTGCTGATACTGACATTGGCTTGCTTAACTTCTGTGAGTCACCGAGGGCGGGTCAGGCCGGAAGTCAGGGCTACGACGTGATTGCAGTCACAGGATGCTCATGCCTCGAGGACTCACACACACACACACACACACACACACCACACACACACACACACACACACACACACACACACACACACACACACACACACACACACACACACACACACACACACACACACACACACACACACACACACACACACACACCACACACACACACACACACACACACACACACACACACACACACACACACACACACACACACACACACACACACACACACACACACACACACACACACACACACACACACACACACCACACAACACACACACACACACACACACACACCTGCGGACAGTAGGCAACCCGGTGTCGAACAGTGAAACCTGCTTTTGCAGGGTAATCTAATTCCTGAAAGTAAGCTCAGTTTCTCCCTGACTCGCCAAGTGGAGAACTCCGACTGTTTTCTAACAAGTAGCTAGGAGAGTCATCTGTATTTGCTTATCCCAACCTAAAAAGAAGCAAGTCCTTAACAGTGGCATTCAACTCGCCACTCCAGAATCAAAACTTGTGTCGGATATGTGATGACGTCCTAGAAGACAAAGCGACCGGGGCGCGTTCGAGTGAGCGCTCACGGGGCCTTGCAGCGGCGGCCGACGACCCTAACCTGAGAGCGCACGACCACCCCGTGCGGTTCTGCATCTGGTTGGCGAATGCTCTGCAGTTTCGACTGTCTCACTGGCGGTCGTAAGCGGTGTTGGGCTGGTGTCGGCCGACACACATCGATAATCAATTCCGCGGTCTCGCCGGTGGTCCGGGGGCGCTTGGCGCCAAGCGAGTAGCCAGCCGCTGTATATGGGATGCATATCACGCCTCCGCGAAGAGTTAAGTCCGATCAGCCCTTTGCCCGCCAATGATAAGACTCTTGCTCCTAATTGAAATATATGGTGGTGAAATGCATGCCCTGAAGATATTGCACTCAATTTCGTTGACACTTAAAAAGCCAACTATCAAAACGTGGTATGAGCCGAGTCATACGGGTTCTGATGATGATGAGAGTGATGGTTGCGCTTGGGCACCAACCAAGTTTTCTCATGCTGCTGTTAGATTGCCGGCATTGTTGGATCAAATGCCGCCGAAGTGCTTAATATATGGGTTTAATGCAGAGGCGTTGCACAGAAGCGTGCCCGTGCATTGGCTGTCCGTAAATACGAGTCCGCACTACATGGTTATAGTGTTGCCAGAACGATCAAGCGAACCGCTCATTGTGTTCTGTTTTCAGCTAGATCGCTCCGGCGCCGGCGGTAGAATGCGGCGGCACGAACCGGCCGCGCCGGCGGCCCGCTAGTATGTCCGTCCTCCGCTGGGCGGCGCTGCTGTGCCTGGGCTGGCCGGCCGCCGGCTGCCCGCCGCTGCCGACAGGCCGGTGCTCCTGCCTGGAGCTGGGCGGCAGCGGCAGCAGCGGCGGCGGCGGCGACGACGCGCTCGTCGACTGCTACGCGGCCAGCATGACCGAGGTGCGGCACGTGCTGGCGCTGCTGCCGGGCTCAGTCGGCTCGCTGCGCCTCTCCCGCCTAAGGCCGCCCCCCGTGCTGCTGCCGGCGCGTGCCCTCGGAAACACGAACATAAGGGACCTGCGCATCGCACGCTCCGGCGTGCGCCGGCTGCACGAGGACTGCTTCACCGGCCTGGAGGCGTCGCTGCGCAGCGTGGCGCTGCCGCAGAACGGCCTGGGTCGCGTGCCTCGCGCCGCGCTGCAGCCGCTGCGGGCGCTGCGCCGGCTCGACCTGGAGGGTAACCTTATCCGCCGGCTGGAGGGCTACGAGCTGCACGGTCTCAGCCTGAGAACACTCGTGCTCAAGGGCAATGCGATCGGTGAGGTGGCCGAGCACGCGTTCGCCGGGCTCGAGGACACGCTGATTGAGCTGAATCTGGCGCACAACCGGCTGGCGGTGGTGCCGTGGCGCGCGTTGCGCCAGCTCAAGGTTGTGCGCGAGCTGAGCCTGACGCGCAACCAGATCTCGGCTGTGGCCGGCAATGGTCGCTGGCGGCTAGAATTGCTTCAGACGCTCGACCTCGGCCACAACCGGCTGCGCACGCTGCCGGCGGCTAGCTTCGCCGCCTTCCCGGCGCTGCGGCGGCTCTCGCTGCACCGGAACGGCGTGGCGACGGCGGACGGCGCGGCGCTGGCCGGCGTCGGCCTCCTGCAGACGCTCGACCTCAGCTCCAACCGGCTGCTGGAGCTGGACGGCCGCCTGCTGCAGTCCTGCCCTCGGCTCCGTGTGCTCGACCTCAGTGGCAACCACCTGCACCTGCTGCCGGCCGGCCTGCTCGCCGCGCAAAGCCAGCTCCGCGAACTCTTCCTGTCCGACAACAGCCTGATCGAACTGACTGAGGACATGTTTGCCAACGCCTCGAAGCTTTCCGTGCTGCACCTGCAGAACAACGACATCGAGTTTGTCGGCGGTACGTCGTTCTCGACGCTCGGCGAACTGTCTCAGCTGCATTTGAGCGGGAACCGCATCGCTAAGCTCGACGATCGAGTTTTTGCCGCGAACAGAAAGCTTGCCATGCTCAGCCTGGACAATAATCTTATCGTCGATCTAGCCGAAGGCGTTTTCTCGCAGCTGACCAAACTGTCATCTCTCAGGCTGCAAAACAATAGGATAAAGAACATTCGGACAGAAGATTTCGCATCGTTGTCAAGCTTGGAAGAACTGCATATGCAGGAGAACAACATTGTCCGAGTGGAGCCGTCGTCTCTTGTCAAACTGCATAACCTACAGCACCTTGACCTGCGGAGAAATCGCCTAAGCAGCCTGGAAATTTTCTTCAGCCAGGCACCCACGAACTTAATCTCTCTCCAGGTGGACAGCAACCAACTGACAACAATTTCGAAGCACTCCATGAGGCACCTGCTGTCGTTGGAAATTCTTCGGCTGAACAATAACGGCATCTCGCATATATCCCCCGGAGCTTTCGCGGATTTGTCGAACGTGCGTAAACTTTACCTGCAAGACAACCTGATCCGGTACATCGCCAACGGCACATTCGTTGGCTGCAGGCGGCTCAACGTCCTCGATCTGAGCAACAACAACTTAAGTGCGATCGATAGTCCGATGCTCCTGGGACTCACCAGGCTCGAGAGCCTTAAACTCGCCGACAATAACATAGCCGACATTCGTGCTCGCTCTTTTCAAAGCTGCCAATACCTGACAGAGCTTGACATAAGCGGCAACCCAGTGGGCAAGTTACGGCGAGTGATGTTTGAGAACGCTCCGGCCATGAAGCGGCTCGTCCTGCGGCGCTGCACAATAGTCAGCATAGAGCAGGGAACCTTCCATAAACTTTCACTTCTGAAGGAGCTTGACCTACGGGAAAACGTGCTGCATCGCGTGGGGCCTGACCTTGGTTGGCCGTCTGGCCTGGAGCGATTGTTTGTGTCGCTGAACAGGGTTGGCGATGTGGATGTGAACAATCAGGTTGGCTTACCTGAACTTGTTGTGCTGGAAATGGAGGCCATGAACATTCGCAGTGTATCAGAAAACATGGTGCCGTCCGAGTGTCAGATGAAGGTGCTCAAGCTAGGTCTTAACGAGATATCGTCTCTAAATAGCTCACTTTTGATGCGCCTCATGCAGCTCCAGGAACTACATCTAAACTCAAACCTAATCCAAACCGTCTCTTTCCCCCGCCTGCCCAGTTTGAGAGTGCTGAATTTAAGCGGTAATCAGCTGTCTCGGATCACAGACTCGACAGTTTACGGCCTGGCGGGTCTGCGGGTGCTGGACCTCTCCCACAACCAGGTCTCCCACATCTTAGGACGCCCGTTCGCCGCCGTCCCCCGCCTGCACACCCTGCGGCTGCAGCACAACCGGCTGCGGCAGCTGCCGGCCGGTGGCCTGACCCACGCGTCCCTGCTCACTCTCGACCTGGCGCACAACCGGCTGGAGCACGTGCCACCCGCGGTCACCGACGGCGCTCTGCCCGCGCTGCTCACCCTTAATCTGACCGGCAACCCGCTGCACGAGCTGCTGCGCGAGCGGCAGCGGCGCGACGCGCGCGCGCCGGCGCTGCGCGAGCTGCACGCGTGCCACACGGAGCTGACCAGCGTGGCCTCGCATGACCTCACCGGCTTCGGGGGCCTGCGCGTGCTGCGCCTCTGCCACGCCAGGATCTCGCGCGTCGCGCCGGGCGCGTTCGGCGCGCTCGGCCGGCTGGTCAGCCTGGACCTGGGCCATAACGACCTGGAGGCGCTACCCAGCGAGCGTCTGCGCGGCCTGCAGGCGCTGCGCTCGCTCAACCTGACGCACAACGCGCTGCGGCGCGTCGAGCGGCTGCCGGCTGACCTGCGCCGGCTGCAGCGACTCGATCTGTCGCGAAACACGCTGACTGAGCTGCGCGCCGGCCCGCTGGCCGCGCTCACGGCGCTGCGCGACCTGCACCTCGGCCGCAACTGGCTGCAGCGGCTGGAGGCGCGCAGCCTGGACGGCCTCCTGCAGCTGCGCCGGCTGGAACTGGGCGACAACGGGCTGGAGACGCTGCCGCCGCGCCTGCTGTCCGGCGTCGAGGCCACGCTGCGCGCCGTCGATCTGACAGGTCAGTCGGGTCACCATGACAGTCTGACATGTCAGTCCGGGTGGTGATCCCCACCTGGCAGTTAAGTTGGATTACCGTATCAACCAAGAGCGTTACGACATCGACATCGGAAGTTACATTGGTCATCGGTGTAGGGCCATGAATCAGCTAGGATATGTAATTACCATTAGAGGTCATGCAGGGATTAACGGGCGTCATTGATTTAGTGGTGTACAATCATCGGCGAAGCAATCAGCATATGGAATATCAGGACGGAGTTCTACCGTGCACAGTTTCCAGCTTTTCAAACTTCATTTGAAATTGCAGTTTGCATGAGCTGGCATTTGAAATCAAAGCTGTTAGTGATATTAGTTGTTCGCTGTGTGAAATCACTTCCAAAACGCCTTGATACCGTGCCTATATGATGGACTTTCTCAAGCACGCTGGTTAGATTTTTTTAACTGCAGCCAATACAACATACATGGTTTTGTTCAGCGGACTGAAACGCCATGAATGCAAGATATCGTTAAAGATCTTGCATATCTAAGAGGTATACGACACAAAGACACGCACACACACACACACAATATATATATATATATATATATATATATATATGTGCCTTTTGAAGAGAAGTCTGGATGAAAATTCCCGAAAGAACTAAGCGACGAAAATATAATACCCATTCTTGACGTCACTGTTTTTGGACAAGGACCGCGATTTAGGACGGCTGTATGCCGAAAGGAGACCAACAACGGATGGTGTTTAAACGCTGAAAATGAGTGTCCTTGACGCTACAAAATTAGCGTCATGGGGTCATTCCTTAGACGTGCATTTGAGCATTGCTCTGATTGGGCAGCACTGCATCGGGAATTACTACGAATCAGACAGATTTTGGTGAAACACAGATTTTTAAATTTCGACGTTGAAAACGAGATGCAACGATACTTGACAAGACAGTTCGGCGACGAACCACAACAAAACAAACAAACAACCGTCCAACTGCATTTTTAAATCTTCAAATAAAAAATCAAAATCGAATCAAATTTCACATCTGGCTACAAACACGACAAAAAACTCTACGGAAATCATCTCGTGACTTGTAAAACGCCAAAACGACAACAAAAAATTGCTTTCTTATCACAATTGGAAAATCTCTGAGTTTTCTTATGAGTAACAGCCCAGACAAACCCGAAAACTAAAATACACCAATGTAGTGCATCAATTCAAATGCCGCATTGAAAGCTGCAAACTTCGTTCCATACACTACATCGGTGTAACCACAGCGACACTCTCACAACGCCTGACGACTGCACTTACGTGACCGGACACCTCTGGAGCACATGCGACACGGAACATGACAGGACATTGGCACAACATTGGAAGGACAGCGCTGGTATTCTTCGGACGTGCAATGACGGGAGACGCCTTCAAATTTAGGAAAGTATGTTAATAAACAAACTCTCTTCAGCCCTAAACATACAAATTCTTGCACAGCACTGGAGTTAGTAGGTGATGGCATCTCATATATATATATATATATATATATATATATATATATATATGGATGGGGAGATATATACACATACGTACACATATATGTACAGATATATAAAAATATGCACATATACATATATAAGCATACATACGTATATATCCAGACATCCCTACCTACAAGTTCTTCGCGCAGCACATCCCAGCCTTTCAGCTGTCCACTGGACTCATGTAAGTAAGGTATGCGTAGTAAGCCGGTTAGTTCGGTCAGAACTTCTGCTTACACATCGTCGAGAGAGCTGTTACAGGATTTAACACAATTCTGCAGCGTTTTAGCATAAATTGAAATTATTAGCTCACGGGCAGTATACAAGTGAATATTTTGAACATTCGCTGTGCCAAGTGGTCTGTGTTGCAGGTGTACTGATATTGTCACGAGCCACTATCGCTAACAGAACTGCCAGGCCAGCCTGCAGCCAATGCAGTCGCGTGCTTCCATGAGTGTCTGGATCCCTTCCTCCCGGGGGGCTGCCCGTTGTCACTGCCGAAAGGCAGCCGGCTGGTATTATGCTGGTGACGCCGATGCCCTGTCGTGCTGCGCCCCTCCCCCACCCCATCGCTTCTCCCTCATACCTCTCCGTCTTCAGCGGCGACGAACCTGGTCGTGTCGACTGTGCCGGCTGTGCTCAGCCATCGACAGGCTGCACAGCCGGTCTCCCAGGGAACGAGGCTGTGCTCAGCCATCGACAGGCTGCACAGCCAGTCTCCCAGGGAACGAAGCTGTGCTCAGCCATCGACAGGCTGCACAGCCGGTCTCACCGGGGAACGAGGCTGTGCTCAGGTGGCCCTCGTGGCCAGCCTGTACAGCCAGTCCTCGGGGCACGAGGCTGTGCTCAGGTGGCCCTCGTGGCCAGCCTGTACAGCCAGTCCTCGGGGCACGAGGCTGTGCTCAGGTGGCCCTCGTGGCCAGCCTGTACGGCCGGTTCCCGGGGCACGATCACCTGAAATATTCACACGCACCGCTCGCTGGGCTCTGGATATTTCATGCAGCGGTCCCAAAGGTGAAGCTGCTAGACGATTTGCTCGAATGCCGTTACGAACAAAGGGCTTTTAAATCATTTCGTGGAAGTATCGTAGTACAATACTGGCAATGACATTGTCGCACATTTGCAGCTTTAATGATGATGATGGTGATTAGATGACAAAATTTGTTTAAGGAGATATTACATAAAGAAGAGAGATAGAGAGAGAGAGAGAGAGAGAGAGAGAGAGATAGAGAGAGAGAGAGAGAGAGAGGAGAGAGAAGAGGAGGAGAGAGAGAGAGGAGAGAGGAGAGAGAGAAGAGAGAGAGAGAGAGAGAGAGAGGAGAGAGAGAGAGAGGAGAGAGAGAGAGAGAGAGAGAGAGAGAGAGAGAGAGAGAGAGAGAGAGAGAGAGAGAGAAGAGAGAGAGAGAGCGAGAGAGAGGGAATAGAGAACAAAATATAAAGTATGAGATGATGAGAAAAGAACCAGAGAACAAGACAGTTAGCACAAAAAAGAGATAGTGATGTCTTGATGTGATTAATAAGTGCAACATTTTCATAGCAGAATGAGGGGACACTTGCTTCTAGGGCTCCCTCAAAGGCGCCGCTGATTACAGGTCATATGGCCCACCACATAGAGATGTGGTTCCAATCCCCTGGGCGTGCCCCTAGCCCTAACCACGATCCTAAGCCTAAGAGGGCCTAACCCTACCGACATAGCAGAGCGATTCTAGCTCAGTGGACCTTTTCGCGACGAGATGCTCAACGTACCACGGCATTACCGAGCCAAGGCTGCTTCTGCTTCAGCCCGGCTCCTCTGGACGGCGTCCAAGAAACCATCATCCGAGTCACACAAACGCGACATCGCTGGCACGGGCCCACATGCTTGCCACGCGCTGGTCAATACGCCCCATGCTGTACCCACCAGCTGAGCAACAGGGACGCTGATTGGTCTGCTGTCGCAGTCTTGAGCGGCTGGCTCGCCTCTGGGACAACGCAGGACTGACAACGCAGCGCCCTTATTGTGACAGATGGCATCACGGCCGAGCTATCGACAACACCTGTTCGCATTCTGGCGCAGTGCAATCTTCTGAGAGCTGATGCATCGGAGTACCGCCAACTGTTGTGCATGGCTCGTCTAAATTGAGCTTGCTGGCACAGCTAGGCGCCTGCGCGCAGATGCTGCGCCGCAGTGCTTGTGTGCGATACGGAACAGCGCGGGCCTGGGGGCTTGACGTCCACCCCGGCTTGTGGGAGCGAGGTGACCTGTGGAAAGGTCAGCGGAGTGCAGACGGAGCTTCGACGGCTCAACCCTAATGCTATCGGGGATCTTATTGCGAACGTTCTCGAAGTCGGCCTGGCGAGGCTTTTACTCTCTCGGACGCCGCCCGCACCTCGGTCAAATTATCCTTCTAGCATATAGCCATAGTTGTCCAGGTTCTACGGAGCTTTGTTTATGCTTAGTGGTTTCGAATGAGCTCGGACTTGAATAATATCTTAAAACCTATGAAATGGAAATATGGGCTTAGTATGTGTGGCAAGACAGTATCAGGTAGAAGTGAAAAATTCACATGAAATATGGGGAAAGGAGTAACACAATCCCCCTCATAGGGCGCTGCTTTACACCAAGTCAGCAATTCTAGGACACTGCTCTAGATAGTGCTGGGCTTATAACATAAAAGGTTATGGCAGGCAATCCAACTCGAGTTTTGAGCTATTATTCATGTTAAGAGAAGTATCAAGGAGCCCTTGTTGCACTCTGGTGCACGCTAATACCTCCCAATAACACCCTCAAGGCCATTGCATCAATCCCTAAATGAGTTAAGATTTTTATCGCCGCCTCTCGCAAAGGCGCGTGTGTACTCTCGGAGCGGCGCTGGCACTCCATGGTGTACAGAGCGGTGCTCACGGCAGGGATCTACTCTGCAGTACTTACAATTTTATTGTTATTAGATCGCATGTACCTACATGCTGTATATGCCTGGGGGAGCGGTTGATTAGAAAATATTTGCATACTACTTCACCAAAACATGTTGGCAATTGGCAATTCACCAAAACATGGGGCAAATTACCCCCCCCCCCACGAGGGATTTTCCAGAGTGGTTTCCAAACTGCGCGGGGTAGCCGCACCAACTTTTGCATAGCTATAGATAACTGAATAGTAGATTGAGTGGTATCAACAAATTGGATGTACCTTATAAGGTCACCGGCCTACGGCAGGTCAAAGTCAGGCCATGGATTCAGCGAAGTCAATTTCAAGAGAATCATTCAATCTGACAGAACAACGGAGTGTTAGACGATGCCATACGTCTCTGAGATGCTTTCTTAGGTGACAAAAAATAAGATGACCAAATTCCATTGACCTAGGGTCAGATATGAAAGTCAGACCAAGACCAATATCAACCTGTTGTATTATTGTAGGACTTGCTTTGTGGGGTAGTTTCTGGTGCTCATTTCGAAATCAATTGATGACAGAAACCGCAGTAGACATCTTCCATGGACTTCTTTTAGGTCAGAATAGGTCACTGACCCAACATGACCCAGGTGAGCATTTCGTTTTTAGGAACATAGTGTCCAGCTTATTCTTTGTCGCTTATTCAAATGCAAAACTCAAAGCAGTCTTGTATGATTTTGGTCACCATTGCCCTTTAAAGGTCAAACAAGGCCACTGACCTTGAATGATAATATGTGTTACTTAGAAGGGGCATCTAGGTTCTGAGGACGCTTTGGAGACTAACCTGAAATTTAGTCGTGTTTAACCTTATTTAGCCCGAAGGTCATGACCTGGGAGGCTCAAACTTTGACTTAAGTCAGCTCACGTGCAGATCAATGCACCCTGTGAATTTAGTGTCTCTAGTTTGCTTAGTTCCTGAGATCTCAGGAGGTCAAATTGACCCCCACCCGAGCGAAGGGTATCCAGGACCATCCGGGCGCGTGCTAATGGGTTGAGCCACAATGGAATACACGCCGAAGTAGAATGCAAATAAAATGTTTGCATAATTTGCCAAACAAATATGTGAGCTTGTTAGTCGTGTTAAAAGGAAGCAGCAATTAACAAGGAAAATACTGAGTACTGGGATAATTCTCTTTTCAAACAGTTCAGCAGAAAACATACAGGAATATGAATCAAGTGAAGTACACTGCTCGAATCAATTCAGCCCGTTGAAGTGTGAACTAATTGAAATGCCATGCTGGTATTAATGTTCCAATTTGTGGCCCACATTTCCAGTCAGGTCAAGCATCGCCAAATTAAGGCCACATTTGAAGTCAGACCAATCAAACATAACCAGACCCAATGCATACGCAGACAAAGCGGTGCTGCTTATAGGGGTCGATAGAGCGGCCGGGCCCCACAAAGCCAGCAGCAAAGCCGGTCTCGCGAACGGACAGTCCCACCAGTCGTACCGCAGCGGCAGGCCTAATCAGGGCCAGATCAGCTACCAGTCTTACTAGAGCCTGTGCGGCCGCCGGTCCGGCTCGAACCGGCGCAACAGCCGGTCTGACTGTCAGGCCGGTCCGGCTCGAGCCAGTGCAACCGCTGGTCTGACTGTCAGGCCGGTCCGGCTCGAGCCAGTGCAACGGCTGGTCTGACTGTCAGGCCGGTCCGGCTCGAGCCAGTGCAACGGCTGGTCTGACTGTCAGGCCGGTCCGGCTCGAGCCAGTGCAACGGCCGGTCTGACTGTCAGGCCGGTCCGGCTCGAGCCAGTGCAACGGCTGGTCTGACTGTCAGGGGGTGAAAAAAGGGGTCAGGGGTGTCAGGGGTCAAACCAGTGCCTTTTCCGTCAGTGATAAGATTTGGAACCGTCTGAATTGTCGCCTGGAGCCAAGTTTTTAAGAAATAGTCGCAATTCAAATCGAAATGCGATGCACCATAAAAGCAAAGACGAATGAGATGCAATGCGGCGTAACTATCAAACGTTTTCGGTTCAGGGGTCGCTTTGCACTTGAGCATCGTTTGCTGGCCATCAAACATTAAATGATGATTGAGAGTTAACCGGAAAAATTACTTACTTATACTTATTACTTACTTTCTTATTACTTGCGGCATACTTAGCACAACCAGCCTAGAAGCGCGTAGCTTCCTATTCAGCCTGGGGGGTGGTGGCATGCCCCTCTGCCTGCACTACTGGGCATGTGCCCCTTGTGCCCGCGCACTGTCCTGCTACTTTTTGCCCCTACCCCGTCTGCGCCACTGCCTGCTCGCCTTGACCCTCGCTGGCATCGTGTGGCTGGCTCAATCATTACGTCGGACCGGTGTAAACTGAAGGCTTTTGCCTTTGAACTGCCGCCGAACCGAAGCGCACTCTGCAGTAAGGTCACGTCCAAAACCCATCACCAGCAGGCCGGAGAGCACGGCGATGATTTGGCCACGAGTGGAACAGCCTGCTGCAGTTGATATTTTCGCCGGTCATTATTGGGGTTGGGAAACCACTGGGAGCCGCACTGAGTACATCCAAAGCGGCTCCGTGCGGCTAAGGCTGCAAAGCGGCCATGGCATGCAAACCTGTACTCCGTTCCAATAATCTTAGCCAGGTGACGTTGTCGATCGCTAGTGATGTCGGAAGAGCCATGGAATGAGCTCCAACTTCCTCACTGCAGCGCATGTCACGTGTCAGGAGAGATGGGAACTTGTCTCCTGTGACGACCTTTAATGCGCTTCTCCAGACGGCTCCTCGAAAACCAACCGGAACTGTCAGACCCATCGCCGTCTTGAACACGCCCTTCCAATAGCAGACGTCCAGCCAAGAGAGCCCCTGATGGCGAGATGCCACTCAACTTCCAGGGATGGAAAATCTTGGCGCGTAATGAGCTTGCACCCCGATGTGTTCTGACGCTAGCAGAGCTGAGCGAAGCTCATGCGACAGGTGATGAGCGACAGATTAAGACACAGACTCAGTCGTTTTCCTTCTTGAAGCTTTTCAAAAATTCTGAGGCTACAAAACTTCCTAAAAAGAGGAGAAGGAGGAATCGAACTTGAAGGTGTATTGTCCCCAGAAGACAGGTGAAGCATCGGCGGCGCCCCCGGCGAGGGTCAGCTGACCCGCCGCCCGCGTCGCCGCCAGGGAACCGGTTCCACTGCAGCTGCGCCCTGAGGTACCTCGGCTCCTGGCTGCAGCGGCACCCGCGGCTGCTGGTCAGCGCGAACGTCAGCTGCTGGACGCCCGAGCAGCTGCGCGGTCAGCAGCTGACGGCCGGCTCAGCCTTCTTCTGCCCGCACTCGCCCGTGCAGAAGGTCGCCGTTCAGGTGGGTGCGTCCTCCCGCCGGCCGGCGCGCGCTCTGACAGCTGTTTGGATGCGTTACGTGCTTTTTCTCTGATAAATTTGGCCCCAGCATTTGGATTGGATGGATTTCTGGGACCAGAGCCACGCTAGGGCACACGCTAAGCGGGGTTTATTTAGTGAACCCTGACCCCACCATCAGGTCATGATATTCCAGCTCAACGGCAAAATTTCGTGCCGACAGTTTAACATGCCGTGATTCCCGCCACAGTCCACCCCGCCCGCCGACCTTGTTTAGCCTTAAGCGTGTGACTACTGCCACCGGCCGCACGCCATCCCAGCCAAGGGCAAATAGCGAGCGAAGAAGGGACTCGAACCCCCCTGCCAAGAGCAGGCTGAGAGGCGGGGCTCTTGCGATGGAGCCGCGGGGCGGAATCAGTCGCATTAGCGTCTTTGCCCGCCGGATTGGAACAGGCGAGTACTAATCGCATCTTGGTGCAGAGCCCAACGCAGACCAGTTGCATGGCTCCTGTTAACAGTATGTGAGCAAACCCTATACCGGCACAGAGTTTTCTCAAAGCCTGAACAACAGTGAAAGAGATGATCGCTCCTTGTTTGCCCCGGCAACCTGAAGTTATGGCCTGGGCGACGGAATGGCCTTGGCCTTGTCTCTAAATGACAAGCAAAAAGCTACGTTAATCTGGCTTATGCCATCCGGCGTCAAGCAAGGGACATGGAAAGCTACGTTATGTTCACCGGCTAATTTTATCTGAATGCAAAGGCAAGTAAATTAAACACAGTAGGCTCACATAGTCATGCATTCAATACCAGCAGGCATGTTCATGCGACGCGATACATATATACATATGCATAAACATATACATATATACGATACATGTATACATAAACGTATATAAATATACACATATACGATGTATAGATAAGATATAGTGCGAATGCCTGGAGCACTCCATTGCCGTGAGAGGTTCCTCCTTTGGTTCAGCTGGTGCATCAGGCCGACATGATTGCCACAGCAGGATGTTAGTCCGGAAAAGTCCTGACTAGAAACAACTGGATTCCTAAACAAATTGGGAACGACAGCACGTTTTTGTAGAATTCTGCGTGGAAAACCTGTGAGAAGCATGGAAACCTTTATGTTTGCGATTACACTGGTAAAATGTCCCAGTCCTGATCTCTGATTATATTGGCTTGTGTTGTGTAATGAATCGAACGTTCCCACACGTTGTTACCACTTCCCCTGATGCTCAAGCACAGCCGTAGCCTGACGAGCCGTCGTCCGCGCCACAGGACATCCAGCCGCACTCGGTGGTGGTATCGTGGCAGGCCGACCCCGAAGCCGGCATTCTCGGCTTCCGCGTGCTGCACCAGCGGGCGGCCGAGCCGACGGCCGGCCGCGGCGCCGGCCCGCTGCTCGCCTCCGCGCCGTTCGCTCCGGAGCGGCGCACCCACCGGCTGGCGCCGCTCGCCGCCGATACCCTGTACCGGGTGTGCGTGGCGCCGATCGGGCGCTGGCTGCGCGCCGAGGGCCGCGCCCGAGCCGCGCCGCCGGCCGCGCGCCAGCCGCCCGACTGGCGCTGCTCGCACGTGCGCACGCTGGAGCGCACCGAGCGGCTGCCGCTGCTGGCGTCCCGGCCCGGTCTGGTGGTGGGCGGCGCGCTGGCGGCGCTGGTGGTGTTGGTGCTGTGCGGCGCGGCGCTGCGGCCCGCTGCCAAGGCGCGCCGTCCGGCGGAGGAGCCACCGCCTTGGACGGCTGGTCGGGAGGTGGCGGCGCCGGCCGGGACGACGGCGGACCGCGCGCGGAACGGCTGGGGGCACGACCGGGAGACGGTTGTGACGTAGCTGGTGTAAAGTGACTGGAACGCATGGTGTGTGCATCTTGTGAGCGCGATGTTATGGTGTTGGATATTAACTGCGTTGAAGGCTTGATATTGACTGTGGTGTTGTTAGATGTTTCACAAACTGGAATCATGGCATGCTAGGGCATTTAAGGAACAGCAGCCTGCACAGAGCACTCAATTTTGCCGATATTTTTGTACGCTCGGACCAACTGTTGTTCTCTGTGACGCGTGAGATGAAGTCGATGGAATGAAGAGATCGGACTTTCAGTTGTCGGCAAGGCGCAAGCCGTTCGCTGCAATGCGTCCGTGCTTTTGGACGATCACAATTTGGACAAAGGCGATTTATTCAAAAGTAGTGGAACTTGACAGTAATCTCTGTTTCGTCACTATCTTGATATTAATAGACATTAACATGCCATAGCAAACATTTTCTTATGTCGTCGGCAAGGGTCACCGGGATCGTCATAAGATATGACATCCTCGACACGTAGGTGGCCGGCAACGCTCGATCTGTTCCGATACATTCGCTGTACATATGAGAACTTTCCAAAATGCGAAGAAGGCATGACCACAGCCGAGACAGTGTGACTTACCTAGCACAATATAAGCAGGGTCCAGTTCCATAAGCAGAACTTCTGATTTGTACGCTCTTTTATATAGTGCCGAAGGAACTGACACTCACAAACAACGGAGTTTCATTAAAGAAACTTTATTCGTATGGAAGACTGATCGATGTTCTTATCGTGCCGTTTGCACTTCCACACACAAGCACCAGATTTGATCAACAAAGCTAATTCCTGTGGGCGACCTGTGAATGAAGTGCTGGAATAAAAGAGGGCATTCCTGGCCCGTTAACCTACTTAAGCATGATGTGTTAGCGATGAATAGGTTCGTAGTTTCATTTTATGGAGCTAGACACGGGACTCAGACCGCTGAGCATGGTAGGCGCGTCAACAAGCAAGTGAATGTGCGCTGGCCTTCCCTGCCTGTATCTGCATTATTTCACACGCTCCTGAGGTGGCGTGCATTCTGCCATGCCTTTGGCGTTTCCAGCCACAGTTGCCACGCGGCGACACGTGCCAAGCCCACGCGGCGAAGCTCGTGGCCAAAGTGGCCGCTAGCATTAACGCTGTGCCGCGACATTAGCCAACCGGCCATGGTTGCATGACCCGTCGAAATGCATCAGCTTAATGGCCAAATTTTTCCCATTGACGGAGAACTGAGGGCCTGCTTTTCAATTAGCCTCCATTGAGGGCCTGGCCTGGCGGCGTGCTTCGGGCCATAGCCGCCGGCGTCGGCAGTCAGGCGACGCCGGCGGGGGCTGGTGATGGCACCGACTTGCATCAGACATGACCAGTGCCAGGCGGCCGGCCGGACACCTCACCATGACCGGCGTGGCGCGGCCGGCTGGACATCCCACCATGACCGGTGTGGGGCGGCCGGCTGGACATCCCACCGTTACCGGTGCCAGGCGGCCGGCCGGACACCTCACCATGACCGGCGTGGGGCGGCCAGCCGGACACCTCACCATGACCGGCGTGGGGCGGCCGGCTGGACATCCCACCATGACCGGTGTGGGGCGGCCGGCTGGACATCCCACCGTTACCGGTGCCAGGCGGCCGGCCGGACACCTCACCATGACCGGCGTGGGGCGGCCGGCTGGACATCCGACCGTTACCGGTGCGGGGTGGCCAGCCGGACACCTCACCATGACCGGCGTGGGGCGGCCGGCTGGACATCCCACCGTTACCGGTGCCAGGCGGCCAGCCGGACACCTCAACATGACCGGCGTGGGGCGGCCGGCTGGACATCCCAGCGTTAACGGTGTGGGGCGGCCGGCTGGACATCCGACCGTTACCGGTGCGGGGTGGCCAGCTGGACATCCCACCGTTACCGGTGCGGAGTGGCCAGCTGGACATCCCACCGTTACCGGTGCGGAGTGGCCAGCCGGACATCTCACAATGACTGGCGTGGGGCGGCCGGCTGGACAACCCACCATGACTGGCGTGGGGCGGCCGGCTGGACATCCCACCGTTACCGGTGCGGGGTGGCCAGCTGGACATCCCACCGTTACCGGTGCGGAGTGGCCAGCTGGACATCCCACCGTTACCGGTGCGGGGTGGCCAGCTGGACATCCCACTGTTACCGGTGCGGTGTGGCCAGCTGGACATCTCACCACCAGCTAATCTCCGGGAAGCTCCATTGGATATTGGATCTTTATGAGAGAGTTGGATACCTACGATAAATGCCGATGATACAAGTCTGGTTGGCAGACCAAGAGAAGACGAAACCAACGCGGTGTGACCCAAACAATGTAGGAGCGAGCACATGCCTTTTCTTTGGGTTCACTTCCCCAAGCGATTTCACCCATATTCGCATAGCTAAGACAGCAGTAATAGCCTTATTCCTAGGAGAAAAACCGGGAGAACAGAGATATAGATGCGTTGATATTTCGGCAACATGCCCTTATTGAAATGAATAGCAGAAGCGAATTCCGAAGTCAGTTCACTTCTATTATTCACTTTGAGAAAGGCATGTTGGCAAAATATCAACGCATCTATCTCTCCATTCCCCTGAACTTTCTCCGATAGATGTGACCATTACTACTGTCTCATCCATGTGCATAATGCTCCTCGCAAATGCACTAACAACTTTTGTATTCACCTAGCTTCCTACACATAATTCTAACTATGCCAGCAGCCAACAAAAGTGGTACTGCGCCTGTTGCTTGTGACATGCGGGTCCACTATGCCTCACAGTGCAGTTCTAACTTCCAGTGCGGGACAGTCCCGATTGCCTGCAGTAATAAATGCAGAAAATGCAGGACACTTACAAAGGGCAACCCTCTGCGTTGGCGAGCCAACAAACGCTGTCCACATGACCCCACGGGCCTATTCTTGCCAGCAGAGACGGCCGACCAACTTCGGCGTCCCTCGCGGCGCGTCTCTGTCCTGATTTGTGGCCCGCTTCCGGCCCGTCTGCTGGCTCGGGCTGCGCCGGCAGCCGGGCAGAACTGACACATCACGCGCTGACGGCGGCCGTCGCACCCGCTACAGCCGACGCTGCGGCCGGCCCGGCGACCAGCGTTGTTTTCGGCGCGCCGCTTTATCGTCGCAATACGCCGGTCCGTGGGCGGCCAGACGCGAACTAGCGCCTCGTAAAGCGGCCCCCCGTGGCCCGCCGCCGCCGCCGGCGGACGTCCTGGAGCCAGCCCTCCCAGAGGCGGTGTGGTGAGCAGCGGTGGTCGACGCTGCAGCGGGACACCCGGGCACTGCTGACGTCCGGGGTTTGGGGCGGCCCCAAGCTGACTCTCTGAGCTGAGGCCGAGGGACTGGGCGTTCCAAGAGTTGTAACTTTTAATCACAGAAAGAATTGGGTCTGGAGGACGGTCGAAAATTTTCCTGAAAAAGTCGAGCGGAAGTCGAAGATTCAGCTCACAACAGCAGCCACCTCGCATAAAAAGGTCCGAGAATCCCGAAATACTGACGCTTTTATGATTTGTCTTCAGGACAGTGAGGCCGTACACTAAGGTTGTGCCAAAGAGTTGTGCCACCATCGAACACTTCCTCGCATAGGGTTAGTGCTAAGGCTTTAACTGGCAGAAAAGGTATAAAAAATACATCTCACACAAAGAAAGACGCACAATGTACCGGGACAGTATACGACGACTTATGTGTATCTAAGTAAGAACAATCATTCTCCTGGGCCACCGCCTTTACAGGCGACGCCGTCAAGCAACCGCCACCTATTCGCCAGCAAGCACAGTTCTGAAACTATCTAACTGTTTCAAGCACCGCACACTAAGGAGATAAACCATGATGTGATGCACGAAGAGCTGAACTCGATCTTTTATTTTCCGTCCATGGCGAGATACAAGCTATTTATGGAAAGAGATACAACACAGTGAAACGCTCAATACTTTTATCCACCATGTAGCAGCCTACTCTCGCAATAAGCAAGAAGATCTTCTCCTCTATTACATGGAATGCCTCATTACAATAATCAAGGGTACCATGGTACGAAACAGACTGAATCAATCCTACAGATGTTACTTTTTAAACTTATGCATTTCACAGCACTGGACATGAAGTGATTCAAACACTTTCAACATACGGGGATGGGATCGGATGTTAAATATGATTTTATTACCTTCGTGCTTTTAGTGAGCTAGCATGCGTGAAAACTGGCTCATCCAGCATGATAAGTTGAAAACGATGTAAGCACCAAGCACCATACAATCGGCACATGGTATACGTCCTTTAATTATCCCTGCTTCTGCGAAGACAGCTTTTGATCGCAGCTTGTTTACACGTGAACTAGCATTAAACATGAATGTTTTTCCATTTTTCCATCCGGGCTTTATTAGCCTCTGGCTGATTTTGAGCCTATGTGTTTCAAATGAAGTGGTCTTTGGAGGAAATTCATGTATTAGGATCGGATGGATCCCGGATTCGGATGGATGGATGGATAGATTCGGATGGATGGATTCGGATGGATGGATCGGATGGATGGATCGGATCCAGCTTGGCAGGATATGGATCGGATTGGATTGAACAAAACTTGTCCGATTAGCACCCCGACATAAGCCATTCTGAACACCACACAATTATGACACCAGATTGGACCCCCCCCCCCCCCCCGGCCACAATGACTTCCTCGCTCCCTATTCACTGGCGCAACCGCGATCGATGCAGGCAATGACGTGGCACACCTGTGCTAGAGCTACATCGAACAGCTGACAGAGGTGGACTCAGGCAAATGTTCCGGCCTTCGCATCGGTACAGTGTAGTCAGATCTTGACATAAGCATATCAAGAGTGAGACTGCTCTTAGAGGCCGTGAGACTGCTCTTAGAGGCCTCGTTTGAGCGCACTGTAACGCTTTGTATTGGCTAGACTGTCATTTCAACCATGTAACCAAACTGTGTCAAGTTTAATCAACTTTGGACGCCTGCCTTACTCTAACGTAATATATTCGTTTACCCATGTAGCTATGCTGGCTGTTGCTATTTGAAACATGACACCTGGTTTCTCAGGGATTGATCCTACTCAACGTAGAAAGTTGGGCACGTCTGCCCCTCGATCCAGCTTTTTGCCACGAGTTTTCTCTTCACGCCATAAGCGCTCAAAGTTTTTGTACCAACACAAAGTTTGACATCACAATGGACCATGTGACGGGGAATGGGTGGTCATTGTTATATCACTCTTTTATGACAGGCTTCTAGCATTTGCCTATCAACTATACTACTACCAACAGTATTGATGCCGGGGCAAGACGCTTATGATGGCATTTGAGAATTAATTGTCATTTATTTGTTATTAATTGTCACAACATTGCTGAGGATTAATTGTCAACGGCAACATGGTGCACCAGCTGCCAGTAAGCCAAAGGCTCCGGGGCAGATCACTACTGAGGGCCCAACCCCGGCGCCAGCCACGCCTCGCGCCGAGCGCCGCGCGTAGACCGCCGCCAGTGGCGTGCGTCGCGCGGCGGCCCGGGGGCTGGGCTGCGGGAGGGTGCGCTGGCGGGATGGCGGACGCACGCCGCCCAGCGCCGCCGGTCTGACTCAGGCGCCCTGTTGACGCGCAGCTGGGCCGATTCATTACTGGCGCGGCACGGCCGGCGCGGCGCGGCCGCCACACCTGTGCCGCATTGTGGTGTATGAAAGCAGCCGGGTGTCGGCCCACCTGTGGCCGGCACGGGCCCCAGACGGGACCGGGTCGGAGGCGCGACACGACGCACTGTCCACACCGAGCTCCCAGCCAGCGGTCTGTTGAGAGGCGGCTTCCGAGAGAGCAGCACCGAGCCAACGCACGAGAGCCAGTGTTGGAGTGGAAGTCGGTGTGCAGAAGCAGTACTGCAGGTGAGTCTCGGCAGAGTCACTGAAACGTATGCGTTAGCTTTAGGGCGCATCAATTGCGCATGTTAGCTGAGGGGGAAATCGGCGGTAAAACAGCTGACAATCGGGACACAGGTCGCCTCAGCAAGAGGGCGCGCAAGCTCAACAAAGATGTGTGTGGGAATCACGCATGGATGCCACTGTAAGGGCCGAGAACGCGCCGACTAACATTTCAGCTAAATATTGTGGGGATTCCCGCGTGACGTCAATACCCGGGGCAGACATTTTGTACCAAACGTAGCGGAGGAAGATGCGTTCATGCGGTGACCTACTTCCACTTTTCGGTATAAGGAATAGTGCTGGTTGTAATAACAGGTTGATAAGAAAGGAGGCTAAGCACCATTACAACTACACCATAGCACAGCACGAACGTGCACATGCGATCGTGTGTATGCTCTTGGCCAACGTTGGAGTGCCTCTAGCGGCATTTGAGTGCGCTGATAGGGTGTGTGCCTTTGCCTGGCTGTTCGCACGAGCATACGCATGAGCGCGCATAAATTATGTCCATGATGTACGTCAGTCCCGTGCGTACGAGCGTGCGTGACGTGCATGTGTGCGCACGCGTACGCGTACGCCTTTCACATGTATGCGCATATTGTGCGTCCATTCTCCCGCATACACACGTGTCACGCTGAGGAACACCAAGGCCGTGGTCGTGACCTACTGGCAGCCCGGCCGCGGCGGGGTGCGCCGGCTCGTGTGGCCCCGGCGCCGGCGGGCGGAGCGGGCCGTGTCGTATCACTGCCGACCGTCCGGCAGGGGCGACAGCTGGACGCACGTCGGAGAACGCCCGCACCCGCCATGACGGCGCCGTTCGTGACGACGGTAACGAAGCCGGCGCCGGCCAGCTCGCGCCTGCGCCGCGCGCTGATGGCGGTGGCGCTGCTGCTGCCGCTGCTGTTGGCCGTGGGGGTGCTGGCCTGGCTGGTGACGCCCCAGACCGGCGACGGCAAGGCCGAGTGGCTAGAGCGGCTCTTCAGCGGAGGCCAGACGCAACACGACGGTGGGTGGCGGCAGCGGCGGGGTGGACCGCCGGACAGCGCCCTGGGGTAGCGCCGGACTAGATCAGCCCGTTTGGCCACATAACAGCCAGCGGAGATGCATGGACAAAATTCAAACAGCTGGCTAGATAGTTCTCGTAGTGAACTTCGGGTGAATTTCGCGAATGATTCACGGAGTGTTCAGCAATAACACTAACCACCTCGCATGTTTTGCTGTTGTTTGTCCTCCATGTCCCGTTCTGCTGTCGCCCATGCCCCATGTCGTGAGCCGGCCGACCCGTTCTGTTATCATCCGTGTTCTCTGTTGTAAGCCGGCCGGCCTGTTTCGCTGTCGCCCGTGTTCTCTGTCGTAAGCCGGTCGGCCTGTTCTGCTGTCACCCGTGTTCTCTGTCGTGAGCCGGTCAACCCGTTCTGCTGTCGCCCGTATTCTCCGTTGTGAGCCGGCTAACCCGTTCTGCTGTCGCTCGTGTTCTCCGTTGTGAGCCGGCGGGCCCGCACTGCTGTCGCCCGTATTCTCTGTCGTGAGCCGGTCAACCCGTTCTGCCGTCGCCCGTATTCTCCGTTGTGAGCCGGCCGACCCGCTCTGCTGTCGCTCGTGTTCTCCGTTGTGAGCCGGCAGGCCCGCACTGCTGTCGCCCATATTCTCTGTCGTGAGCCGGTCAACCCGTTCTGGTGTCGCCCGTATTCTCCGTTGTGAGCCGGCTGACCCGTTCTGCTGTCGCCCATGTTCTCCGTTGTGAGCCGGCGGGCCCGTACTGCTGTCGCCCGTATTCTCTGTCAGGAGCAGCGGGCCCGTACTGCTGTCGCCTGTATTCTCTGTCAGGAGCAGCGGGCCCGTACTGCTGTCGCCCGTATTCTCTGTCAGGAGCCGGCGGGCCCGTACTGCTGTCGCCCGTGTTCTCTTTCGTGAGCCGGCCAACCCGTTCTGTTGTCGCCCGTGTTCTCTGTCATGAGCCGACCATGCGTCTCAGAGTCGGTCTGCTCACTGGCGATGGAGGCGGGCCCGTGTCGCGGAGCGCTGCAGCGCTTCTACTACAGCCCGGAGGCCGGTGGCTGCACGGCCTTTCTGTACGGCGGCTGCGACGGCAACGCGAACAACTTCGAGACGCTGGAGATGTGCCGTGCCCAGTGCGGCGGTGGTCAGTCGGACACAAAGCGCGCACACGAGCAGAAAGGTATGTGAACGTTGGGTGATACACACCGGTTTGGCCAACCCCGAGTTTGTGGGGGGATTCGCTATCCGTTTATTGCATGCAAGCCACCGCGCGCATGGCCTTGGTTTTTGAGCATTGTTGAGAGCATTGTTGTTGAACGTTGTGGTAGCGCTACCCTTGTACGTCTCCGTACCAACGATCGTGCATCTGAAGGGAGAGCGTCGCTTACTTCAATCAACCTTCGCCCTGATCGTGGAGGGGCGGTGCGACCCACTCCCAAAGGTTTGCTGAAGTTAGCTCTGCGGCACGCCGTGCAGTCGCGCCCAAATTTCCAGTAGCCTATGGAGAATCCATTACGACTGTGTTGACACCAAAAGCGTGTTCTGGCGCGTCTGGTTTCGCAGCACCGGCATCATTTGTGGAACATTGCACGGCGGTCAGCGGCCTGACGGAGCAGCGGGAGGCAGCCGTTGCCGTGTCAACGCCTGCGGCGTGCCGACGTTGTTATACGAACAGAGCCATACATTATAACTATGTTACCAAAAAAAATATACCTGCGCGCAATTGTACTCAGAAATGACGACAAAACGCGTCTGCCCTGGACTTGTGTCACCAAGAGGCACGGCCTGGTAAATGTGATCATAAACAGCTGAAAAAGATGGATTTGCGGAAAGATTTCGCCTTTTGGTCCAGCATAATGATGCCAATTATTGACCTAGGAACATAAACTACGTCGTCAACTGCTACATCTTGACAATCAACCAATCCACTGCTGTTTTCCACCAAGCCTTATCTTCCTTAATTTGGAAACGGCAGGGGTCCGCATCAAACTGTATCAATCCGCATCATGAAAACGGCAAATCGCGCGAGGGTTGAAGGTGTGCAATTTAGCTGAGGGTCTTCGGCCGGGGACAGTTTTGAAACTTATCCAGTCTCCCTGCCAGTCATCATTTCAGGGCTCGTGTACATATTGCTGCTTTGTTTCGTTTTCGGTTTCCAAGACGCGAATCTGTCACTGTGATGCTGACACGCCGCCCGGCCATGACAGGTGCTGACATCTGCACGCTGCCGGCGGAAGTAGGCGACTGCCGAGCGGCGCTGCCACGGTATTTCTTCGACCCGAAATCGTCCCAGTGCAAGGAGTTCACGTACGGGGGATGTGGAGGGAACAGAAATAACTTTCAAACTCTGGAAGATTGCGAGCAGAAATGCCGGTCCGACCAGCGTAAGTTGCTTTCCTGGAAAGCATACATGCTCCTGTTGTGAATGTACACACTTATGCTCTTTACCTCATGTGCAGTTAATTACGCTTTTTCTTAAAAGGTAAGCTAGGAAAGCAAGTCATGGATTTCCTGGAGTGCTCAGATTGCGGTAGTGAGGATGCTTTCCTTAGAAAAATATGAACACGCCGGTGGTCAACATAGTACACTTGTATTATGCATAAAGTTTAAATCAAGGCATGAATGACGTGAAAAACGTCGAAGCGAACGTGGAGGAGACCCACTTCAGCTTTCGAGATGCACCTGGTAGATTTCCAAGACTGTACCAGCTAAACCTTGTGCACGGCGCAGCGTTTTGGTGATTTCCCGTTGAGGCCACGTTGGGCGCGAGTCAGCGTCCGGACCTGACCGGGCTTCCTCAAGACCTGACCGGGCCTCTCCGGACCTAACCGGGGCCCTTAGGACCTGACCGGACCCCCTCCAGACCTGACCGGGCCTCTTCGGACCTGACCGGGCCGCTGTCCCGTTCCAGGCGGCGCTGCCGACTGCACGTCGGCGCCGGACGGCGGCCTGTGCATGGCCTACATGGAGCGGTACGCCTACCACCCGGACACGGACTCCTGCCAGAAGTTCGTGTACGGCGGCTGCGGCGGCAACGGCAACCGCTACAACACCAGGGAGGAGTGCGAGACGCGCTGTGCACAGACGACGACCGGGGACGAGGAGGGAGTCGCGTCTGAACTGCAGGAGGGCAGGGGTAAGGCTGATGTGTTTGAGGGGCACACCCCTCGTTTTGACCACGAGATGTGATACTGTGCAAGAATCCCATATCTAATGACAGGCACGGCTAGCAAAATAGTCGTCAACGCACTCAATCTTTGTCATTGCTTTTACTCCAGTGTTCTGCCTACATGTCCCCCCCCCCCACTCCATCCCAGGAGAGGCAGCAGCCCCGTGCGTTCCGCACCTTACTTCACCGCCCCCACAGCCCGATGTGCCCTGCCCTGCCGCGTGACGGCAGCTGTCTGACGCGGGCGCCGCGCCGCCAGACTACGACACGCGCGCGTGCGGCGTGTCCGAGTGTCCGGCCGACTGCGGCCTGGTGGGACGCCAGGCCGACTGCGTGCTGTGCCGCTGCGGCCACCAGCCTCACCTGGAGCCCGGCCAGCTGGCCGTGGCCGCCGGCCAGCCCTGCCCCGCCGGCTACAGCCGACTCCACGAGGACTTCAGCGCGGTCGTGTGCGCCCCGGACCCGGCCGGTGAGCGCAGCCGCCGCCGCTGGCCCCTCTCCGGTGCGGCTCGCCCGCGCGGGACACGCCGGCAGACGGCCCCGGTCCTGGTCGCACGGCTGGAGCTAGCGGCCTATCTCCGTCCACTAAGCTACCTGCTCTGATCCCCAGGCGGCTCCAGCAGCCGGCATGTTCCCCACCGCGCCAATAACGAGGGTAGTTTAAGGTGCACTAACACCGCCCAAAAATCCTCCACCAGCGCCGCCTGCCTGCTGACGGCGTGCGGTCTGTCCCCAGTTCCGACGCCGTCGCCGTAGAGGCAGCGCCACCTGCGGAGAAGCCGAGTCGCTAATCGCCCGTGGGACGTGACGTCAGAGGAGCCGAGCGGCCCGCAGCCAGCGACTCGGCCTGAAAAAACGCGGCCGATACGTGGGGAATATGGGCTCAATGACGCCCTCCTGGGTGGGGTGGACCGGGTTGTGACGTGTTCAAGCACGACAGCAGACGTGTTACGTATTTCTCCAAGCCTCGCGATCCACATACGACTGCGGTTTATCACATTTTATCTACGTCTGCAACGCAGTAAACTCAGTTCCCCGCACACACACACGGCATTGCATTGATGAACGCACGACAGCATAACAAAGTGCACTTCACTGCTGGGAGGCGCCGGCATGAGACCATTGGGAGGAACATGGATGGGCAGCATCCTGCTTCCAGTGCTGCTGAGTCAGGGGATCGCCGCCCGCCATATGGCGCCACGGCCCCTCGGCAGGTCTTCACTGACAATGGGGTAGTTCTAGAATGGATATCGCCCAATACACGGCTGCTAGTTTTACATGTTGCGTGTCTGGCGCGTCTGTACGAGCATCGCCTGGCCAACACGGACCGTACTCCCGGCGGGGCCTCGCACAGGGACCGAGGAGCCCGAGCATCGACAGAGGGCGCCGCCCGCCTCGTTATTACGTGCTTCGCGGCTGGCGGCTAGTTCCGGCAAACGGACGCTCGCGACCTCCTCCGGCGGAGACCCGTACTCGGGGCCGCACGCCAGCCGGGCTTGGCGGCCGCTCCCATCACCCGGCGCGGGTGCGACGAGAGCTGGCCCGCGGCCGGACGGCGGAGCCCCGCCAGCGGCGCTGAACACGCCGGCGTCTCCGCCCCAGGGCGGCGCAGGGGTCCGGCAGCCGCGCGGTACGCGGCGCGTCACGCGACGGCTCGGCGCGGGCGTCGCTCGCGACGACTCCGATTGTAGGCGGGCCGACACGCACCGCGCCGCCCACGCGGGCCGTCCTGCCCGAGCCGGGAATGTCCTCAAACAGTCGGGCGACAGAGTACCTCGCCGCCAGAGCGGCGCGCACGCTGCGAGCGGCACGCAGCAGGGCGCCAACGCGCGCCTCGCCACCGCAGCGGCCGCACCGCCGCCGGGCGTGCCAGGCCCGCCGCTCCAGCACGGCACGCCGCCGCGGCGTCTACTGCCGCTTGCCGTTGTTGTAGTTCATGGCGCGCATGGGGGCCTTGTAGTTGGAGGCGGCCTGCTGCTGGATGATGTAGGCCATGGGGTGGATCTTGAAGCCATACAGCCTGCGGCGGGGACAAGCCAGGTGACGGCGGCGGCCTGACTGACCCGGGTCACGGATATCGGCAAGGATCCGAACCAGCGGCACCGTCCATTACCAAGCCATTACAGTAGCAATCGTGGACCAAACAACAACTGAAAGGCAAAATCACCGGTTCTGTTGTGGTACACTACGCACTAAGCCCCCAGGCCATCATTTGCGTGATAAATGCCGATACTGCTGCACAGCATGTGGCGAGGATGCGCCGCTGATCATCCTGGCGGGACGCACTCTCCGCGGTGTCTCCCCAGATGTATGACAGATCCGTCGTCTCTGTTAACCCGACCGTCAACGTTTTCCCCGGACAGACAGCACGTCTTTTCGCTAGCTTACCCGGGCACTTTCCCGGACCACTGGCACACATCACGTGTGCTGGGGCGCCAGAGAGGCGGACCCCTGCCAGCGCGCTCGCTCGCTCACCTGGGCACAAACTGGTTGGCCGGCTTCTTGGGCCGGTACTCGGGGTGCACCATGAACAACATGTGTGGAAAGCCGGTGCCGAAGTAGGCGCCGTCGATGTGGTGATGTCGTGACGACTTGGGTGTATAGACGTCCATGCATTTGGGGCAGTACAGCTTCACCATCGCCTCGCCCGGCACGTCCGAGAGACCTGCCGGGCCCATGGCCGGTCACACGACGGGAACCCCACCATTCACACTGATCCCCAGCTCAAATCGATACCTCAGTCACGCGCTACGCCCCTTCCAAGCAGCAGCGTAACCTAGCCCTCGCAGATAATAGATGTGTTGGAGAACCTGAACCTGTCTACACAACGAAATGCTGAGCAGTACTCCTGGCCAAGGCGTGCTGCCTTAATTCAGCACAACCTTACTGAGGGTGTAACATTCCAGGCATACTTGTACAGCATACTGGCTGTCCTCGTGAAATATCTGTCACGAAGCATATCAATGTCCTCGGCATGATGTGGCACTTATGACTGCTACAGGCAAAAGCAGCTGTTGTTACCACCAGGTTCGCCACCTCAGCCTACCAGCATGGCCGAGCTGCAACGGTGAGAAGCGGACACGGCATTTAGGGCGGCGGTGTTCTCTCTCGCGCCGCGGCGGGCGCCAGCCACTGACCGATCGGCAGCATGGGCTGGTTCTCGCAGTAGACGCGCGGGCAGTAGCCAAACTCGCCCGACTGGTACTTCTCGATCATCTGGGCGATGCCGCGGTTGGTGAGGATGTAGCGCGCGTGGATCAAGCCGTACAGCATCTCGGCCGCCTGCTCGATCAGGTCCGACTGGTTCGGGTTCTCGTCGAGCTCGTCGTCTGCGGCGGAGCCGGTCAGCCAGTCAGAACGACGCACAATCAGGCTCACATCGGGTCACAATTAGCACATTTCCACTCCACATGCTGCTAACTAGACTCCCCGGTGCCTGTCACCAACAGTTACATTGTAAGGTGAACGACACACGCTTCACCTAACATGAACTTATATTCCAATTTAAAGGACCCAGCGCAACCTAAGCCTTCCTGTAGAGCAGAGACAGGAGCAGCCACGCTCCTTACAAAGGTATTCTCTACATTTACTCCACACGAACAAATTTACCACCGCCGGCGAGGAGAGATCAACAGGCTGATGACCTACAGCAGTCGATGCGCCCCCCCCCCCCCCCCCCCCCCCCCCCCCCCGGAGAGATGAACAGAAGCGCGGCGTCCCGACCGCCAGACCTGGGATACCCGTCCGCGGATGTCGGCCGCACCCTAGCGCTGACACAGACTGAGGCGACCAAGCACGCATCAACATACAGGCTGCCTTTTCAAGCTGGTGGGTTGCCTTCGGTACATGTCCGCACACATCTTGGAATTTCAACATTTGGCCGCATTGGGTGTCACGTGCACCTAAAGGAGCACCAGGTCTTGAATGCTGCCTACTGTATCTGTCGTCTGGTTACAAGAGATCCAGTGTGTGGCAAAACCTTTCCTATCGCACAATTCGTGCACCCTCAAACACGGAGTGTCCCAGATTTTTATGAGATTTTGACTTGAAATAGCTATCATAAACATTTTTGCTACAGTCCTCAGCCCCGTCCTCCTTAAAACCCAACCCTCTCTAGTATCTGAGCTACATGGCCATGAAGATGTGCTCACTATTTCGAGCAGACTATCTGAAGATCACCCAGGCATCCATGATGTCATGCTATCAATCAAATCCTGTCATTCCATTAGCGATACACGGATCAATGGCAAGAAAAATATCATTGTCATGTCATCCATATCTGGCGTCCATGAACTCAACCTCCAGATATCATGGCCGTCAATTGGCTCCAAGTCAATCTTGTGCAAGGTACAATGATTTAATCAAACAATAACATTTGAGGAGCATATTTACAACACAAAGAAATTGTGTTATCAAGAGTATTCATTTCCACTTAAAAACATACCAATAATTATAAGTGCACTTACTCGATAACATCTGGTGCTTGTTTCAATATCTTTAAGTGTGGAGCATTCCCTTCAATATAAACAACATGCGCAATACTAGACAGATACACAAGTTACAGCCTGTTATCCCGCCGCTAGCCCAGCGGCCGGGCCCCAGCCACTTCACACATAGCGCAGCTGGCGGCCTCACCTGGCTCCAGGTCCAGTATCATGTCGAGCGCTTGTCTGTAGTGCGGCACCTGCTCGTTCAGTCCGGTCAGGTTGAACTTGTCCTGGATGTAGTCCTCATCCACCTCGCAGAAGAACTCATTGCCCCGCAGTCCGCAGAACCACGAGATCCAGGACACCTCCTCCGAACTGCTCATGGCTCTGCAACGGTTCAGGTTATGGTCATTGGGGTCCTTTCGCCGATGGCTTCACATAACTTAATTGCCCATCAAAGGCCAAGGTACGAAGGTCTCAGGCCGATGATAAACTAGTCCTAGCAGAAGACAGCCGTGCAGCGAGCCCCTGTCACCTTCATCGGTTTGAATGGTCTGGAAGTAGAAACAACAATACAAGTTTGCTACCGCACAAGGCTAGCTAAAAAATAAAAACAATGTTAACACGTGCCCAGGTGGCCAGTTAGATATCCTTCGCTCGTGGTGGGGGTAAGTCAAATAAGGTCAAACAAGATTAAATTTTGGCTTGGAGTCTCCAAAGTGCCTCCGTGACCTAGACAACTGTTTTTAAGCAAAAAGCCACATGCTCAATTAAGGTCAGTGACATTGTTTGACCTTTTGCAGGTCATGGTGACCAAAATAATACAAAACTGCTCTGGGTTTTGCATTTGAATAAGCAAAGATTACATCAGGCAGCATTTTCCTAAAAAAAAAAAATGCTGACATGGGTCCTTTCATGTTAATGACCACATCTGACCTCTAATAAGTAAATGGAAGATGTATGAAGTGGTCCCAGTTATCAATAAATTTGAAATGAGCACCAGAAACTATCCCATACAGCAATCCCTAGAGTAATAAAGCAGGTTAGTTTTGACCTTGGTCTGACCCTTATAACCAACCTTGGGTCACTGTAATTTGCTCATTCAATATTTGTGTTGCATAAAAAAGCATCTTAGAGATGCATGGCTTTGTCTAACACTCTGATGTTGTATCAGATTGAATAATTCCCCAAAAACTGACTTTGCTGAACCATGGCCTTACTTCGACCTGCCACAGGTCAGTAACCTTACATGGTACATCTACATTTTTGATGCCAAATGATCCACTATTCAATTGTCTACAGCTATGCAGATTTTGGCGTGGCTCAGACGCGCCATTCAGAAACCATTCTGAAACACCTTCAGGGGGTCAATTTGGCCCCCTGCCCAAGTGTGTGTTAAATATTCCTGAAGACAGCATTCATTCCATATGAATGCTTATCTCTAACCAATTAAAAAGCTTCCAGACATGTAAAACAGTCATTGATTTGCTGCAAGACAGTAATGTTGTGATCAATATGTCAGAATTGGTTTGCATGTTTTGCAGGTGTCATTTTCAGACACAACAATTATTCAAAGGTGCTGTGTGCTGCTTAGTACTGAGTTACAATAGTGCTTATCTAAAAATAGATTTAAAAAAGGACAAAGCCTACATGTATTTCATTTCATAGTCCTGAGGATCACAGTGGTCAAGAAAAGCAGATGGAAAAAAGTAGATATCTGTAATTCACTGTAGCAAAACATAGGCATGAAAGAACATGAATGATATGCTACTTCACACATGTGGAACAAACACCCAAGTGAATGAACATAGACTAGCTGGTCATCAATTTACTGGATGTTTTACTACTAAGAGTAGCATGTCATGGAATAGTTGTTCTTTCCTTTGTCTTCGAGAGCAGACACCCTTCAAACATTGAGTTGCCTCCAAAATAACACACCAAGCCCAATGCCAACAACATGATAAATGTATGCATGCATGCATATATGTGTGTGTGTGTGTGGATGAATGAATGAATGAGTGAATGAATGCATGTATATATGTATGCATGTGTATATATATATATATATATATATATATATATATATATATATATATATATGTATACATGCATGCACACACACATATATATATATATATATATATATATATATATATATATATATATATACATGTATAATATACTGTTTCATTGACCATCTCCTAAAGTTCTACAAGGTTCTATATCTGTACAAACGTGCATACGCAGATATGGGAGCAGACATCGGTGTAATGCCATTTCAGGGTCAGTTCAGTCAGGTCAGACTTTTAACTCTGGTTGGTCAATATAATGCAATGTAAATATAATATAGCAGTATACATGATATTTATCTTTATTTTTCATTTGTATTATTTTCATTCAGTTTTCAATTCATGCCCATTTGATCATGGATCCACACATTTTCAACATTTGCATGCCCTGTGAGCAGAACCCTCAGAATCTTAACAGCATTTACACAAATATTTTAGAGTTCATCTCACATATCTAACAATTTGGCCTGGAATTCTACCATTTGCTAAGGATAACTCTTAAATGCATTGGTTACCATTCTTTCACATCTAGCAGTTTGTATAATTGACATAATCTTTAACATGCTGCAGTCCAAGCCATGTGAACCTTGGGCACAAGATTAAGATCAAATATAGTTATAAATAAGCATTGAAATCAACCTTTCACTTTGTCTCGTCAGTAATAAAGTGTCTTAATCATAATTGATTGATGAATCTATATTCTGCATCTTATTTTATTACTCAAATCCTTTTCACTGTAATGCCCTTGGCTTGATAATTTTCAGCTCTACAGCATTTAGCAGGTGGGAGAAGGAATCGAGTATGTGAGCAGAATAGTATGCAGTGCTGACCAACCACAACTGTGGTTCGTTTGCAATTGTTACTTATTGCCTGCTCTATATCTGTACAACTCAACACACAAGAAGGTGCCAATTCAGTTATAAGGGCCAAAAACATGATCACGTTTTTATTGTGGCTGCTTGGAGAACATTTAGGATGTGAATACAAAAGATGCCAACTAAAATTATCTGGCATTGTTCTAAATGAAGCATGCACAGAAACTACCATTTGACAGCACCAATTCCTTTATAAAAACTACTCTGTAAGAACGATTCTATCAATATACTTTCATTTAATCAGAACGTGTATTTCCAATGGGCTCCCACAAACTAGGGCACATTAAAGTCACAACTAAAGGATCACAACTGTTTTTGCAGGACCTAGGGTTGATGAATTCATGGATCGCAACAAGATGTACAAAAAAATACTGTATGTCAAACTGATGTACAGATTCATAGGACAATATGGAGTGATTGCTGCAAAAATACATTGCACCATTCCCTACAGCCACCGCTCCACGATTAATGCGGTTCGGCCGATTTCACCTACCTTCCTTAACACCAGCTTCAACACCCTGAATACCTTGAACCTTGCGTAAACCGTTACCACCCACAGCCGGGAAAAACTACAAGCGCCAATCAGCTAAAGGTTTAAGAGACTGAAAATGTGAATAACTTAAACAGCGTAATCCAAGACCGCGCAGGCACGCAACGCTCAACCGCGGCGGAACACCGATTAGACGATTTATACGCGACAATGACAAGGAAGCAGGTTGAACTAAAAGGCTGACATACTTAGCAGACATGCGTTCCTAATAACTGGTTATTTATTGAGCTTATTTTTCACCAGCCGATTGAACATCACAAAGCAAGTATACGGATAACAAAATCATGACCTAATATAAGGTCAACGAAGATAAGAAATTTAACACCTAATGTGCAAAGATGGATGAGGCAGGTCCCAAAACCTTGAACAATGTCTTTGTAGATCAGTCCTAACAAATATTGCATACTTTTCGGCAATTTTCCTCCCTTCTTCCCGGTTTCGCACTGCTTACGCTTGTCTGACACACCCTTTTCCCCATGTTTACGTTGGGCTAAGCGTAACGCCCCAAAAGTGGTATGAAACGAAGACGGACAATACGTGAGTACAGCTGAGGCCATACCGCGCTATGGCGTTGGCCGGCTCGTGCGCTGGGCACCAGCGGCACCAGGACACTGTAGCGGTGGACCATGCCCCGGGCCAGTGTGTCAGCATGTAAGACGAGTGGGGCAATGACTCACATCTGAGTGAGGAGAACAATCACGGTTCGGGGCGGTGCGTCACGGTGGCGCCGGCCAGTCGCACGCAGATCGTGTCGCGGGTATGAGCCTTGGAAGGAGTATAAGAGGTGCTGTTCGGGCGCGTAGGGGGGAGGGGGGCTCTCCCTGTCGGCGTCGTGTGCGCCACTTCACCGCTGCGTGTGAAGCAGTCCGACCGAGAATTCTTTTGAGCATCGGATACAGACCCACCAGGTGACAGGGTTCTTTTTATTGTTCAGCCGTTCATTATTTCGAGTTGGCTAACTATTTCTCGTTCGTTTTCGTGTCAGCTGTAAATTTTTACAATATGTCCCTAGTTTGTCATAGAATGAGCTAACTATTCGTTTTGATTACTCAGAACGCGACGAGGTTGTAAGTTATCCCGAAGACATATGAACTTTCGGAATGGTTGACATGCATATCCGGTGCCGCCGTACTCGACCTGAAGAAGCTGATTTCGGAACAATGTCATGCCACCTTGTGTCGAATCGTAGTCGAGTGATTTAACTGGCGGGTGTACTGGCAGTACACCAATATGATTTTCTACACAGCCAAGGCCCTTACGATTCTAATAAAAACTGGAGCATTCAATCATCGACAGATGCTCTTTAATCTGGGTGAAAAACACCATGAGCCATGATAGTTTTAAGGCTGAAAAAAACAGGAAACTCCCATAGCGCATTTTGTAGCTTTAGGGGTGGTATCTAGTCAAGGCCAAGAACCTGAGTCTTCCAAACTTTCCAAGGCTTAACATTGTTGTTATAGGCATTGACAGAACAAGTAACCCGGAATAGCTGTCGACCCCTTCTCCCCCCCTCCCCCCAATTTGGGAGCGCTTCCATAGTCGCTGGGTCAATCGCAAACCATGGAACGGTTTGCAAGCAAAACAAATCCATGCAAAAAAAAACCAGAACATCCATAGTTGTAGCTTTTCCTATTGGAAGGCTTGTGATATTGTCAATATCTAATGCTCCTCAAGTCCAAATTCAAGGTCAAGTGATGGGGACCTCGATATTCGATATTACGCAAATGTTAGCAAGCGATTTCTTCTTTTTTTTTTACTTAAAATCTTCAGTGCATGGACTAGGGCCCGTCACCGGTCCTGGCCTCTCAAGGTCATGTTTCAAGGCCAGATTCAACGTCAAATGATGGGACGTCCGTACGCCCGAAGTTAATAGCGAAAGGAGACCTATAGTTCTACATTTGACCTTGAAGTGCCTTTCAGTGGTCAGCATAATCTTCAAGAACACTAGCTTATGCGCTGAAAGCGATTCGGGTGCTTAAAAATCCGAAATCAGCAGCAACTTGAACGTAACTGGTGTGGTTATAGCTCCTGTTAAATGCGCACGCTTGATGTTGATGTTCAATGTAAATGTGTAGTGTTTGTCTACCGTAAATTTTTCAGGGAAAGGTGTATGCGTGTTTTTGGTTTTTTGCTTACCTTGATCGTAATTGGCTTCGTGGCGTTTCTGTTCTGGCTCGCATAATACACATGCAAGAAAGCCTACATTTATTTTGACACGGTGGAAACTCAGCCACAAATATGATCACCTCTCCCATTACACGTCCGTCAAGTATACGGCAGCAGAGCACAGAAAAGCAAAGCGTACTAAGTCCGCCGGGAAGTTATACAGTACAACAGCCATACAGTACAGTACAACGGCAAACTCCCTGAAGAACTGCGTGCTCACTGGACACGGCAGCCACCCCCCCCCCCCCCCCCTCACGGAACATGTGACACACGAACGGCAGAGAACAACATGCCACAATCTGTTACTCTGAACTGACGCGGCTCACAAGCGCTTCCCCGACAACCCTCTGCTGGAAATCCTCCGACACTGGCACGAGCCACAGCATCAACGCTACATGAATACCAATCTCGTCAAACAATCTTTGCGGAACATGGGGCCGTGACGAAAGACATTTTATGTCTGCGTCAGCGGCTGAAGGATCTACAGCTCGAAGGTCGCTAACGTTGCGGTCCAGCTATCCCGCGACACGAACCCCAATGTCCGCAGGGGAAGCAAGGCAACGCCAGACTCCACATTGCTGTACCACACAGGACTTCACGTTGCAATCGGCAGTTCCAAACCCACACATTCCACAAAAAGGCACCAGGCGTCGCGTTTGGAATGCTTCCCTTTCACCGGTAGCGTCTCCCACATCGAACAGGAAGTCAATCTCAGTCCTCACGCTGGCTCAAGACTGGCCTCAACCACAGCCCGAATACACTGAGTTACCGCATCTGGGAGTACGAGTCACCCTCCAGCCACTCTCATGCAACGCCACTGTCACCTCGCGTGATGGCGGGGCTCCCCCTCGTGACGTCACTGGACACTCGTGACGCCACCTGTCTCTGATGCACCGTCGGCATCGCCGTCCTCGTCGCCGTCGTCAGTGTCGGGCTCGTCGCTAACGTCCCGGTCGTCGGCGTTAAAGATGTCAGAGAGGTCACCGGCCCCACCTGAAGACGAGGCGTCAAGGTCAGCAGGACGTCGGCGCCCGTGCAGGCAGCGCTCAGGGACGTCGGAAGGGACCCACCACAGTTTCTGAATTGGAAGTTTACAGATACATAAAGACGGCTTATCTCAATCGTCACCACAAGTAAACAAGATGGGACGGAATTGCGCATATTTCGTAAAAAGCATCAACAGGGTTACTTCCATGCACACGCACACAGCGCCGGTCTACATCATGCATCTTAAACAGGATAGGATGAGTTGATGTGAGGAAATGCTGCAATGCTAATCTGATGAGGTCAACAAAAATACATGCACGAGTTTGAATGTTTTCCGAATGACCTTACAACGTTGTCAATTTGACAACACTTCTATACAATGTTGCCAACATGCCACCAGGCGCGGCACCTATATAATTCACACATCACCTATGACAATTTCTAAACTTGCCTGAGGAAGACGCGCACTAAGAGGCATTCAAAATACTTGATATCACAATCTGATCCAGGTCAGGGGCGCTATCATCAAGCAATGGCATTAGCAGAAATCTGAACATGTTGCAATGTATGCATCGATTGGGGTCAAATGAGGGGTTAAATTGACCCCACCCGAGCGCGTCGCATTAAACAGGCCACCCGGGCGCGTCTGACTTTAGCCACGGGTGCGAGAAAAGATGGGCACATTGTCATGAAAGGAAGCTAACAGTGTCCGGCTTACACCTTTCAAAACATTGAAAAAAGACTTGCAGCAGATGTTGCGGAGGGGGGCTGGAGCCCCAACTGAACAGGAAGCCACAGCCATGGGCCTTGACCTCTTAGTTCCGAAGACACATAGGGTGATTGTGCGTCGATCCAAACCAGTAGTTACAAGATCAGCTGATGTTTCAGTCTTCCTTAAGAAACCTAATGCATATGGAGAGGCTGCCAAGCCGACCAAACCCGTCGACAACCCGATGCTCCGAGCCTATCGCATTGATCGACACCAAATGTTCACCATCCAATGCCAATTGGTTGAAAACTTACCCTCACCAGAATAAAACGGCCTTGGGTCAGGTCAAAGATCGCCAAATATATGAAACAACTTTAAAGAAGGGTTGCAGGCAACCCACGCTCCGAGCCTTTGGGACCGATCAGCACGAAGCCTTCACCAATCGATGCACCATAGTCGATATCCCATCCTTTCCAGATCAAGGTGTCCTTGAGTTATGTCAAAGGTCACCAAAAACGCGCATAACCACCAAAATTGGCTGCAGACAACCCCATATTCCGAGCCTTTAGAGCCGGTCGGCACAAATCCTTTACAAATTGATACGCCATGGTCGATAGCCTGTCCCTCCCAGAACATGGTGACTTGGCCTTGCGTTAGGTCAAAAGTTACCAAAAAACGGCCGAGGCCATCAGAAATGAGTTTACAGACAACGCCATGCTCCGAGCCTACCGGCACAAGCCTTAACCATTCGATGCGACCCAGTCAATCACATTTTCTCCACAGAACATGGTGATCTTGGGTTAAGTCAAAGATCACCAAACCATGACTGGATAAACTGGTGGTTTCAGCAGTTTCTTGGATCTTTGATTTGACCGAAGGTCACCATCTCCTGGAAAGTGTTATCCGGAAAAAGGGTTATCAACAATGGCGCACGGATTGGTAAAGGTTGAGTGCCGATCGGTCCTCAAGCTCGGAGCATAGGGTTGTGTGGAGCCAATTTTTGTAATTTTGGGTGTTCTTGGTGATCTGACCTGTACCAAGGCCACCATACTCTGGGAAGGGCAGATTATCGACCAAGCGGTTTCAAATCACGTGGGTTTAATATATAGCGTTTGCTGTCCATGGGTGCCAAAGGCTCGGAGCATGCGGTTGTCAACAGGTTTGGTCGGCCGTTTAGTCTCTCCCAATACACATAAAAATCCCTTACAAACCGCGTGTGTGTGTGTGGTGTGTGTGTGGTGTGTGTGTGTGTGTGTGTGTGTGTGTGTGTGTGTGTGTGTGTGTGTGTGTGTGTGTGTGTGTGTGTGTGTGTGTGTGTGTGTGTGTGTGTGTGTGTGTGCCAGGAAACACATACACAGTACACGGAAGCGTTAGTTAGGTAGGTAATGACGCCGGTGCTATGATATTACGGTATTCTCAACGCACGTCTCGCACTTGACATGTTTTAAAACGGCTGTATCTACAGCGCGAAGCATACAATACTGGCATCCGTACATGCAACAGACAAACATCGGAGCCTCTGACATCTAAATGTGACACTCTGCGTCACATAATAACAAAGGAGTGTCGGTTTTAATATCTCCCGCCGACCACCTATTTCCCACCCACTGACGCACGAACGTTACCATGGCAGAAACATACGGCACGGTTGCCAGCTGATTATAGTAAGGTAGTGAAGATCTCAAATACATCCGGCAGATGATTTTGTGACGTCATAAACTCCGCTATGTGGGAGTCGCACATGTGACGGAATGCTGCCAGTGAAAAAGGCGATGTACAGAGGTACATGTTACTTTGATATGTTTCATTGGAGAAACTAGGGCTGCACCAGGAGAGAACAATAAGCAGGGTTGGGGCATGTTTTCATGTTGTGATGGCGTTGTGCAGTCAGCTGGCAAGTGTTTCCGACCTTCACTGCCCCGTATGATCAGCTGACAACCGCACAGTACTGTTGGTCGAGGGGAGATGAGGAAACTGTGTTGGTGCGGTTGTGTGTGTGTGTGCGTGTGGGACGGTGAGCGCTATTTATTGTCATCATATTACGCGTGTGGATTGTTCAACGTGGTACAGGGGTTCCTATTTGTCTAGTGCATGTCCTGATATCGACATTGTATAGGTTGCATACTATATGTAGTGACTCAGGAAGTGCGAAGCCTATGCTGGGAATGCTGGTATTTCCCGGCGTATGCTTAGCCACTCCTATATGGGTACTCATCTTTCTCTGGAGATATATTTCATAGAGACAATTGTTGTTTGTCTGTTTTGTACTGGTGTTTAGGCAAGTGCTAAAATTGCATTTGTGTGACTGTTTGCTATGTGAGACATGCACATGGTCATGTTCATGTGCTGGCTTGGTGTTTCCTTCCATGATCTTCATCCTGAGATATTAAGGTAATTTTGTTGCCAAAATGGTTATGATGCTGGTGTCACTATTTTCAGGCTCTGCAAAGAAGAGTAATGGCACAGAAAATACTAGATCCACAAGAAACACCCCAGATCATCTGCATTGAGTTCCCAGCTCTTGTTGAAGATGAGGAAAAAGCTGTGAAATGCCTTGGTGGCATGGACAATATTAACAAGGTAACATGGTAAATTTTACTGCAAGGCACTGGTGTCACTTGAGATGTACATGCCGACACACACTGAATTGGCAGTTATGTTAATATGTGGCTAAGTAAGAACAGAACATTCTAATTTTTGGAGTATTTCGCTATTTGTATACAGAGTTGTGATGCAAAAATATATCCAGGTCTTGGTGCCAGTGCTAAGTGTCCAAATCAAATTGGGCATGTGGTTAAGTCAGCAGGGTTGTAATATGGGATAGCATTCAACCATCTTTTTCATGTGCACATGTGGGCTTTCAGTTCAACTTTGGAAGCACTTAATTCACCAATAGCCAAGGCTGAAACATGTGTCAAAACCCAGGTCATAGCTTTGGAAGGGGGAATGCAGTTAGGGGGGATTAATTTGACTGAAAAGAACTTTCAGTTGTTTATATATAAATATAACTCAATTCAGATGGTTGTGCATGTGCACCCATACTCAAACAACTGATTTGACTGTTTTTGAGCATTGGTCAGGGTTAACATCAGATCTCGCCAACTGGGGCACACCACAACATGAGATGGATTAAGCTGTGTAGATCTGTAGGTCCATGCCCCCTCTAGTTATCACCCAATCAGCCCAACACCGTCATAATCGTAACTGTGCCAGGAATCGACCGGAAAGCACCCAATGCCCGGTGAATCTAACATCGTGCTGGCGCCTTCATAGGAGAAATGTGTGGCAGTTCTCCGCATGGCAGATAGGCATAGAAAGGCCATTCGCCTCACGAGGGTCGCGGCTAGACTGGCGAAAGCTATTGGGTGGAAAAGACAGTATACAATGTCTCTGCCGCTCATATCCATTTCTGTGTGCAACCTATCTATCAAGTGAAATAGTCAGGGTAGCTGACCCCCCCCCCCCCTGTCCCAGGGTAACCGACCCCGCCCTCCCTCCCCCGTCCATGTGTATCACATGCGCGCGTTGGACATATCCGTGCTCGATGTCGACTCGCGTCGCTCGTCTCGGCGGCAGGTGATCGCAGATCCGGGCAACCGGCGCATGGAGCTGCGCTTCCGGCCCGACGACGTGTTCTGCAAGCCGACCTGCACCGAGCCCAAGGACACGCAAGGTGCGGTGCGGCCGACCCCCGCCGGTGGGCTCTCAGCAGCTAGAGAGGCTGCTCTGTGGAGGAGCGTCAGCGGCCGCTCTGTGGAGGAGTGTCAGCAGGTGCTCTGTGGAGGAGTGTCAGCAGGTGCTCTGTGGAGGAGTGAGCAGCTGATCTGTTGAGGCGTGTGCAGCTTATCTGTGGAGTGTGAAGGACTGCACTGTGGAGAAGTATAAGTGGCTGTTCTGTTGAGGAGTGTGGGTGACTTTTCTGGAAGGGTGTGAGTGACTGTCCTGTGGAGAAGTGTGAGTGTCTGATCTGTTGAATGTGTGCGGCCGTTCTGCGGTGGAGGGGGAGCGATTTCTGCGGAGGAGTGTGAGCAGCTGATGTGTGGAGGAATGTGAGCAGCTGCTCTTTGGAGGAGTGTGAGGAGCTGCTCTGGAGGAGTGGGAGTGGCCGCTCTGTGGAGGAGTGGCAGTGGCTGCTCTGTGGAGGAGTGTGAGCATCTGCTCTGAGGAGGAGTGTGAGCTGCGTGTGCCCTTGTCAGGTTAGATACGCCTCAGAACTTCAGTTTTTAGTACCGCACGTGTCCGGAATGGAAAGATGGTACTAAATCATGCAAATAGGTTGTTAGAACTGTTATGACTTCCCAAAAAATTGCGTGATCTTAACACGCGCAGTCTATGCTAGCTACCGAGATAGCGGAAGCTGTTTACTAATTTGACCAATTCGGACAGGTGCGGTATTAACCTCTCAGTATGTTACATGTGCCTGACAACTGTGCCACGGGAAACACTCCCCTCCCCAAAATGGTTACCGTAGTAGACATTTTCGGTTGATTGCATAGGGTGCCTGGCGAGGCATGTCACATCACCCTTGAGTCATCGCCCGCCTGTTGCTGCTGCCTGAATGGCTATCTTTCTTGACATGAGAGGCAGGCAACGCTATATAGCCTCGGCATCTGGATGCGTTGTAAAGCTCCAATGACGACGACGACTTAGACATGATTTAGTTCAGTCGTAATTTATTGACATGATGTGGCCGAATTGCAATTCCCTCCTGAAAACCCGGTAGTTTCACTGGGGAGGGGAATAATTACCTTCGGTTGATTTCTCTCTTGACACGGTTTGGCCGAATTGTAATTCCTTCCTGAAAACCCCGTATTTCCATTGGAGAGGGGGAATAATGACCTTAGGTTGAGAGCGTCCGAATACGGGCACCGCTGGAATTTTTGTTCATGAGGCATGACAAAGTTTGGTCAACAAGAAGCTCAAGTTTACATCAGTGCCCCGCAACGTCGGAATAAAACGCATGGTTGTTGGAGGCAGCTTGCTCCGCAATTTCAGAGCATATATAAAACAAGATAAGTCCACCAAGAAACAATGAAAGCAGTTGCTTTGGTCTGCGTTCCGCCTCTCATGCTGCGCCATCCACAGTGTCTTCAAGTAATATCTTGTGAATACCGAGTAATCTGGAAATGACAGCCGTGCTAACAGTCAAGTACAGATCAGAAAGTGCGTTTTATCTAGTGTGGTCAGTCATCTTGCCATCGGAAAACTGCCGGTGAATCCCCCAAAAGTTACGTAAGTGGCTCATACTGTAGTTTGAAAGTTTGAAAAGAATGCGACGCCATTTTCACTCGGCTGGTTCTGACAAAGCACGGCTTAACTGGCAACAGCCCCGACCCAGGTCGGATTTGAAATATGTGGCCTTTAAATCACAGCAGCTAGTAAATCAGTATGCAAAAGTATCGCTCAGCTTGTAAAAGAAGTCGAAAGAACGCACACTGTTATCTCGCCGATTGTGTTGAAAGCATGGCGGCAGGGATTCCTCGAAGGGTGGATCAGTCGGCAAGCCGCGTTTGCGTTACATCCCTAAAGAGACGATGGAACGCTCATATGGTTCTCACTTCACAAAGCTGATGGCGAAGGGATGTTCGGGTAGTTTCTTCATGTCTCGCGTGCCCTTGCTTGTAGAGTGATGCATTTCTGAAACACATGTTTTGTTTCCGCTCGGTAAGCGTTTGGCTTATTTTCCACGTGGGCCGATGCAGGAATGCTGTGTTCCAGGTCTTCTGCTTCGAGTGAAATGCCGTAGAAAGAAGAACTCAACAGAACCTCCAGTCTTCAGCACAGAACTGCTTGGTGTTCTTGGAAGCACTTTCAGGTTTACCAGTAAGTGAACTTTTAAAACCTGAGCACCTGAACTCCTCTGCAGTTGAAACCGCAAGATGTGTTTTCAGAGTTTTTTTTTTAGCACCCATACATATTTGACATCGCAAGTGTGGGTTGTCCACTGCTGTTCTACGAGACTTTAGTCGATTGATCTGTTTCGAACCATGAGCGGATGACTGGGAAATCTTGGACGCCTCAGGCAGGATGTAGTGCCGTTGTGCCACGTACTTAGCGAAGCTGCCAGCGAGTCATCGGGCTGGTTGGGGGGGAGTCATCGGGCTGGTTGGGGAGTCATCGGGCTGGTTGGGGGGAGTCATCGGGCTGGTTGGGGGGGGGGAGTCATCGGGCTGGTTGGGGGGAGTCATCGGGCTGGTTGGGGGGGGGGGGGTGATGGCATTCGGCACTACGGTGCACTCTCGGGTCAGGCAGCAAAAAGGCGAAACTGGGAGGGCTTCCAGGACATGCAGGAAGACGGCAAAAAGGCACGCAACTCAGGAGGCGAAAGCTTCAATGTGGCGCTATGAAAGTTCAAGACATACGTTCATGCAGAATACCACTGAAGCTGCAGCGGCTGGGAAACTGCTGTGATAAGGCAAAGGCACGACTATCACATCACGGAAAAATGTGTCATTAGTGGTTTGGGCTTAGCGCGAAAGTGGGAGAAAGAGTAATGTGTAATTGTATTCAGCTAAGGTGCACTCAATACAAAATGTAGGAAATCACTTGAAGTTTGTCGCTAGGATTAACCCTTGATGTGCGACATTATTCAGCCGGCATCCAGAGACGTTTCCACAAAATGGCCAACCATGTCTGACATCAGAGCGAAACGGTGCAACTGCAGTCCGGTCCAGACGAGGAGCTCATCGCCATGCCTCCCCCAGACATGTGCGACTTCCAGTTCCTGCCGATGGACGAGACTGGCAAGTCGATATACGACCAGGTGGTGCCGACCTCCTGCCTGGACACGGAGTACCCGAACCGGCAAGCCCCACTGTTCGTGCCGCCGGTGGCGTTCTCCAGGGTGGATACGCCGCAGGTGGGACCCGGAGAGGCGCGGCCGCTGCGGCCGTCGCGCTCGCACCGGCAGCAAGCCATGGCGTGTCATGTTGAGCGCAAAGCGACGCGGCCAGGTGCGGTGGCGTCAGCTAGTTGGAGATTCCTTTGGCAGCGGTTGCTCTGGCGTCAGCTAGTTGGCGGTTCCTTTCGTAGCTTCTCAGTGCCCAAAACCCAGCTGTGAAGTAGAGCCATGTTCGTCATCAGCGTTGTGAGTGTGACCTATCCTGGAGCTCCTTTGCTGCCGGCCCGGCCGCTGACGGCTGCCCCGCCCCCGCAGAACTACTGCTACCGCCGGCCTCCCACCAACCGCCTGATGAACGGGCCGCTGCCGGAGGGACGCCGGCGCCGCCGCTACGGCGCCCAGGCCGTCTCGCACCTGCAGCCGAACATGCCGCAACAGCCGCTGGTCGACCGGCGCACGTTCGAGGAGCGCGTGCGCATCCGCGGCCTGCTCGGCGACCTCAGCCAGCTGAAGCAGGTCGGTGAGCAGCCGCCGGCGGCGGAGGGAACGTCGGCTGGTAGCCTCGGGGAGGATGGGCGAGCGGTACTAGGCCAGGCTGGGGCAGGAGCTACGGGTGAGGTGTCGGCTGGACGAGCTCAGCACCGAGCAGCTGTGGCTAGGGAGGCTCCATGGGGCTGGTGCGACACGAACCATTAGGACAGTGTGAAGACACTACATATACTGCGTGGCCAGCTGTCTGTCCTGTCAGTGTGTGGCGTCCACGAGCTGTCACTGTGGCGATCGTAAATGCGAATGGTGATAGTTACTGTGGGTGGGCCTGGCCCCCCATGTATGGGATAGCTGCGGTGGGTGGGCCTGATGTCCAGGTATGGAACAGCTGTGGTGGATGGATTTGACCCCAGGTATGGGACAGCTGCGGTGGGTGGGCCTGACCCCAGGTATGGGATAGGTACAGTGGGTGGGCCTGACCCCCATGTATGGGATGGCTGCAGTGGATGGGCCTGATATCCGGGTATGGGATAGCTGCGGTGGTTGGCTTTGACCCTCAGGTATGGGACAGCTGCGGTGGGTGGGCCTGATATACAAAGTGGATTGGCTTTGGACCCGCAGGGTAGGGGACAGCTGCGGTGGGTGGGCCTGATATACAAGTATGGAATAACTGCGGAAGGTGGCCCTGACCCCCAGGTATGGGATAGCTGCAGTGGCTGGGGATGATACCCAGGTATGGGATAGCTGCGGTGGTTGGCTTTGACTCCCAGATAGTGGTGTATCTGCGGTGGTTGGGTTTAACACAAGAATATTGATTGGTTAACTGTTTCTTGAAGTGCCTAAAGTCTCGTTTCATAACAGTCTCAGTGTTGTCGGTCCCGCCCACGACTCCAGCATACATCTCGGATTGTGACGTTTCGGCACCTAATCCTGCGCACGGGTGTTCTCCACGTCCAGGCACCTTGCAGCCGTCTTCACCTCTGTACGGCAATGTTTGCCATCTTCGCCTGAACCCACTCCCACGAATTGCCAGTGTGTGTTCCGCCCCTTAGGGCGCGACAGGGTCCGTCTCGCCGCCAGGTCCTCCCCATGTCACATGCGCACCACCTGACCCCTCCCTCTGCCGTCAGCTGTTCGAGGAGCGACCGGTGATGTCGCGCGCGCTCATCTACTTCCGCATGGGCGGCACCAAGGACCGGCTCAAGTACCTGCTGCCGCTGGCCGCCTACTACTTCAATACGGGCCCGTGGCGTAACATGTGGGTGCGGCTGGGTTATGACCCACGCACCGACCCGCACGCCTGGAAGTACCAGATCATCGACTACCGCACGCGCAGCGCCGGTCAGTGGTGGCCCAGGACGATACGGCTCGGGAGTGGCCGGGGCCGGGGCCGGGGCTGGGGCTGGGGCTGGGGCTGGGGCTGGGGCTGGGGCTGGGGCCGGGGGCCGGGTTCGGGAGCCAGGGCCCGAAGTGGATCGGCAGCTCCATGACCGGGATACGAAGCCACTCTAGCGCTGAGTGAGTCGGGATTATGGGATCATGGCTGTTCAGCTTGGGTTGAGTTCTTATTTGCGATGGTGGTGCGTCTTTTCAGTGTTGTTTGTCCTTCCTGTCTTGTCAGCGTTGACCATGAAAAATATCCTGCAATAGGTGCAAGGCCAGTGCGTACGCTTTTGCGAACAGCGATGTCAGCTACTGATTGTTATCGCTGTATGGATCAGGCATGACATGGCATGGTCTGAAAATGTGAGAGACTGCGTTCCTCCCTCCAGTGTTGAAAAACAAGATGGCGCTAAAGCGAGCCCTCAGCGTCGTGCCCTACCGCTCTGTGAACGCTTCCAAACACAAGATGTCCTCCATCAACGCGAAGAACTTAGAGGACGTCGAGAAGGTACGTAAGACGCATCCAAGCCGTATGAGACTACTGGTTAACTCCCTCAGTCTGCAGCACATGGATAGCGCTCAACAGACATCATGGTTATGTGCTTCAATGCCGACTCTGCGATATTTTTTAAAGATTTCATCCGAACTCCGAATGGGTGGATTTCTGGGATCATAGCTCACGCTGAGCAGTGCTTGCTTTGTGAGCCCTGACCCCTACCACCGATCGCGCAATCCTACGTCAACGGCAGAATTTGGTGGCGAAAGCTTAACGTGCCGCAATGTTCGACGCGGTCCGTCCTGCCCTCTGACGTCAACTGACCTTTAGCGCGACTGCTGCCACCGGCCGAAGGCCATACCTGTCAAGGGCAAATAGCGAGCGCCTAAAGCGACTCGAACCCATCCCGCCATGGGTGGGTGGATCGGAAGGCAGGCGCTCTAACCAACTGTCTCTAAGCTTCTGATATAGCTTCTAAGTCAAGCGTCTCCTGCTCACTAACCGCGCCAGAGGCGCCACTGAGAGCCGTGCCGCGTCGGCTTGTGCGCCGGCCGTCCCGGGCGGGTGGCCGACCGGAGGCGTCACAGACCGGCCGCAGCGGTGTGTCGTGCTGGGGCTGCGCGCGTGCGAGGTGGCTGGCCCGGTCCACCCGGCCGAGTTATCGGCGACCTTACCCTAGCTGGATGGTGCGGCTGCTGTCGCCTTATTGCTGCACCCGACACCCCGGGGCTCCCCATGGAAACCAGGTGTCCGTGCTGGTGAGAGCGGTGATACTCTCCACTCCCTGCTGCCCCGCTCCAGGCCAAGGAGGAGCCGCGCATCGACACGGACTTCGCCTTCCGTCCCGGCATGGTGCCCACGGCGCGCCAGATCTTCTACCAGGTGCGGAGGGCGGCGGGCGGCGCCGAGCGGCGGGCCGCTCATCAGGGCCCGCGGCGTGAGGCGCACGGTCAGAGGTGGAGCCCGGCCGTGACGGGTGGAGGTCCAGGGCCGTGGCGTCATGTGGACGGTATCTGATAATATGTGCATCGCATCGGCCCAGTGTGTGCTCCACGGGGATGGGGCCGTTTCCTTGCGACGCATACATGGGTCTGCATGACTCTCCGCGATGGTATGCCATCTAACTGCGTCTGGGATCATCAACATATGTTATAATCCATGCCGTTCGGCCACGGGTATTCCCAGGATGTGCTGCTCTGTTATATTGGCGTATCCCTCATGGCATCCATTGTTCGTAAGACACGTATCAAGTAACAGAAGGAGCCATAGGGCCCCATTCCTGGGAAAACTGTTGAGCGGGAGGCTTAAGCTCCTGCCAAACCGATGTGTCCAAAGCACTGGCGCAAAGTACTGAATGTTGCCGCGTAATGTTGTACTCTGCAGTGATGCGATACATGTCCGTTTTTGGTAGCTGGCTGGTAACATGCTGTTGGCTCGGCAGTTCTGCGGTGCCAGGATGGCCGAGGCGGGTAACTGGCCGGTGGTGGGGTGGTAATGGGCCGGTGTGTTCTGCAGTACTGCGACATCGAGGTGCCCGAGGTGAGCAATGTTCTGGCGGAGGCTCCCACCTCGACCTACTCGCCGGAACTCGGCTGGATCCGATCGGGCACGGAGGAGCACGTGCGCACCATCATCACCTCCCACGTGGACGCCTTCGTGGCCAGCAACTCCGCCGATGGTACGCCCGGCCGGTCCGCGTGTTCTCTGCCTGCAGGTTGTCCGGTCGTTGACATCAGCTGTCCTGTCAGAGTACCGCCCCGCCCCTTGGTGTCTTGCTAAGCTGGTGTGGGGAGGAGGAAGTATGGGGCATGTGTGCGCTGGCGTAATGGTCGGCCGGTTTGCGCGGCGTCGCTGGTGATCCATGCAAAGACTTATTTAAAAGTGGACAAGAGTACTGGCCGATGATTTAATGACACTAGGGAAGCGTGCAGGGAAGTCATACCCTATTTTCGTGACCGTAGATGTTACGTAGATCGGCATTCCAAAGCCAACGTCTCTGACGGTGCTGGATGCACCATCCGCGCTCTTCTACCGCGCGCGGAGGCTGTGCCATCGCGGCGTCACACATTCTGGACTCCCTTTCGCAACGTGGAGACCGATGCTCAACAGTTCTGGCTTTTCGAAAACGAATCAGAGTCGTGATTAGTATTGTAACTTTTTCACGCGGCAAGCAGCCTGTCCTGGCCATGGTTGCTGGGTGAAAGGACGTATGTGAAAATATCAGATTTAATTTATCATCAAGGGTTGCACGAAACAAGTCGTAAGCTCTACATTTTACGGGACAGATCAGATTATCATGTCATCATATCATAGACATTATCAGATTAACATCTTGTCAGAAACACTGGTTGCTATGGACAAGCGTTGCATTGCAAGAGATCGCAGGAAAATGCTCGGGCCTAAAAAGTCGTGAGCCAAGCGTCGTATTGGATAAAGACTGCGGGGGTAAAAATCGCTAGGGATAAGGATCGTGCTGCACAGAGTCGTGGTCTTGTGTGAACAACCGTAGCCAATCGTGCAGTGTACAGAGCGTCTGCGATCAATTTAGTGACACTATGGTGTATAGAAGTATCGCTGCTAGTGCGGCTGCAAGTCTTCTCAAAAGACTAGGTGAGGCTGAAGTCGGAGGTATTTTTGTCATCGTCTTTTTGAAAACGGCTTGCAGCATGTTGTGAATATTGGGTTATTAATTACCCCGTGCCGGGTTTGTGGCAATTCAATGCCCATCCGCTTGGTAAGTCCACTATGCGGTGCCCGTCGGCGTTTTCTTTCTTCTCGACAGCACGGACCTTTAAAAACCCACGCGCATCCCCAGAATGTCACGAAAGATTCAGGATCAGACGGATGTCATCGAAGCGGATGTCAGCTGTTCTTAGTAGCGATGCGGCTCTCCGGCCAGTCATGCGTTCAGTTCCGTGCCCCTGGGAGTGGGGGTGGGGTGGAGGCACCGGCGTTTGGCTGTCCGTTGACGGTTACCAGGGGTACCTTCCTGTGTGGACGTACGTAAGAAACCGAAGGAAACCAAACCAACGAAACGAAATAACACGGAAAACCAAAGTCCCATACCGACTAACGCCCTTTATTCTTACAGTCTTTCCGCTGCATGATTACTACATTTATGCATGTGTCCCATGCTTTGTTTTTATTTGCAATCTTTTGCTTACGATCATTTGCGATGCGATCTTGCACCCGGCTACTCTGCGCGATATGTATGTCCAGAGCGCTGTCCACGATGGCGCCGCCGTCCTGCTGACCTTGACGTCTCGTCCGCAGGCGGGGCCGGTGACCTGTCTGACCTCTCCGACGCCGACGACCCGGACGTCGCCGAGGAGCCCGACACCGACGACAGCGACGAGGACGGCGATGCCGACGGCGCCGGCGTCGACGGCACCTGAGCGCGCGGTGACGTCACGTGAGAGGGCGCTACCGGCCGTTTCTTCTGCTGTGGAAAGCTGCGCCATGGGCCGTGGATATGGGACAACGTTTTACACGAAAGAAAGCGCTCCAAACGCGACACCTGGCGTACGTGTTCGGTACTGCGCACCGAAACTGCCATTTGCAGTGTGGAATCTTACGCGACACAGTATTGTTGTGGAGGCGAGCGTTGCCTGAGGATCTCATGTCTACATTGGTTCATGTCGCCGAATAGCTGGACCGCAACGCTGTACGTCTTCCTCCCTTGTCCCGCTGCGTGCTACCCACGCGAGCAGATGAGCTTATGCTGCAGTTGACCTCCGGCCGAAAATGGCTGTGGTCACAGGCCCATGTGGGGCAAAGTTTGTTTGTCGACATACGCATTCATGAGTGTTGGTGCTGTGGTTCATGCGTGTGTCCAGCGATTCCAGCAGCGGGTTGTTGCCGAGCGAAGGCGTGTGGACCGCGTCAGCTCGGACCGGTGGACTGTGCCGTGTCTCCCCGCCGCTGCCGTTTCTCTGCCCCGGCTGCTGCGCGCCGGGCGGATTGAAGGCCGGTACAAGGTGACGTCACCGTGGACTGGTGACGTCACCGCGGAGAGCGCCGCCATCCGCGGCCCTGGCGTGGTCCAGCAGGCCGCCTGTGTGGGCCGCCGTCCACATCTGCCGCCGGTTAGCTGAACAGCGTGTGACGTTCGGTGGGACCGTGTCCGCTGCAGTCACGCATCAATGCCTGTCAATATATGTGAGTCTGCGCTGGCCATGTGTTCTGAGAACCGGAACAGATGCGTGGGGTATGTGGCGTGGCTGGCACCGAGCTCCTCGTCAGCTCCTTCCTCTCGGCGGATGAATTACTCGGTAATTGACCTGGCTTCTAGCTGTCTTCCTCCCGCTACTGCCTTCTGCGACCCCGCTGATGGCAAGCTTGCGCGCGCCCGCGTGGACTCGCTCCCTGGACCGGCGAAGCCAGGCATGCGGGTGCTGGTCATGAAGAGTGACGGGTGGGCCCTGTGCGGCACCGACACGGGCCCAGCGCCTCTGAGCGTGCGGGGTGACGGGCGTGGGCCCCCCTCGACCAGCAGCGTCGGCAGTCAGCTGAAGCCCGGCGTCAGTGGGCACAACCTCGGTCCGCCCGTCTCGCTGCCGCGCCGCAGCCCTCCACGGCGTTAATCTCGACATAACGCGTGTGGGACTTGTTGAGTCCATGCCATACACACTAGAGAAACGACAGTCGGTTCAGTAACCCCGGCTGAGTGGGGTACGAGCCGAGGTCGAGCCGCGTCTCCGTGGTCGTTCCCTCGGGCTGGAAGCCGTACCGTTAGATCACTGTTTAAGGTGTAAAAGCATGAACGCTTATACGTGACCGAGACACGCCGGCTTCGATTCGGGGCACCCTGTTTTCACTCATGGGAGGCAAACGCTTGCCAGCCGCCATTTCGTGCCACATTCATTACAAGGGCTGGCGGGTGACGTTTATTGGGCAGTACATTGTGACTAGATGATGCGTACGCGGATAATCTTTTCCACCTAGGTACAAAATCGCGTGAAAAGTGGCTAATTACATTGCGTGCACGACCTTACAGCTAAACAGACACTGCGAACACTGACAGTACAAGCCCCGCGGCCCTCCGCCGCGCGCGCGGGTAACCGGTTCACAGCCAACACAATCTAGAAAACACGCGAGACGAGCTCTCGCCACGCAGCCAGTGCGCGAGCCGCCTCGGTCACAAGGACGCGGGACACTGGCGACCTCTGGACTCACTAGGAGGCCCGGCTGGCTCCCCATGCTCAGCGTCCACGCACGAGTCCGAGGGCCGCTCAGTTCCGACAACCACCGCGCTGGGGCGTCCCGCGGCGAGCCTACACTTGAGTTACATTCCTCTGCCGCCTGTCGCCGGCCACGGAGGCGCGCGAGCCGTGCTGGCTGCCGTCGGCCGGGTGGAGCCGCGGCTTGGGCAGCGTCGGAGGCGGCAGCCGGCCGCCGCGCACGCGCTGCGCCTGCACCAGCGAGTCCTTGTCGCTCGGCCAGCCGGCCGGCTCGCCCTCCGACAGCGTGTTGTTGTTGCGGTGGCGCGGGTCGGAGGTGAGCGACATGAATGAGTCCGAGGGCTGTGTGCTGACCAGCGAGCGGCCGTCGTACGGCATGTCCTCCACGAACGGCGTCTGGTAGCTGTTGTAGCGCGCGCGGCCGGTACCCAGCTGGCTCGCGTTCAGCGGCTGGCCGCTGGCGTAGTTGCTGAAGCTGTCGTCAGGACTGTGGCGGCGGTCCCGCGTGTCCAGGATGTCCGAGGCGGTCCACATGCTCGGTGTCTGCCCGTCCGAGATCGTCTGCACGGCCTTCTCCTTCTCCAGGTCGTAGGCGATCTTGACGGGCGTGGGCTCGCGACTCTCCACGGTGGGCACCGTCACTGTGGTGATGTGCCGCGACGCGCCGGCGCCCGGGTCCGGCTTCCTGCGCCGGTAGCAGAAGAAGTAGTACAGCGCCAGCAGCACGATCAGCAGGATCACGCCTGCCACGCACAGCAGCACGATCAGTAGCAGGTGGTCGTCGAAAGGCGGCGGCGAAGGCTGTATGGGGGCCGTGGTGCCCGTGGGTGGCGGCGGAGATAATGTCGGTGGCGGCGGAGGCAGCACCAGCGCCACCACATTGGAGATGCGCGCCACGTTGCCGGCCTCGTCCACGCCGCGGATGGCGAAGAAAAGCAGCTTGTCGACGGTGTGGAAGTCGATGACGGCGAGGCTGGGCGTGCCGGCCGGCTCGGGCTGGCTCCAGTGGGGCACGCTGGTGCAGTCGGTGAAGTGGTCCCGCAGCTGCGCTCGGCTCTCCGAGAAGCGCACCTCGTAGTGCGACACTGGAAAACACGACCAATGCTTAGGAGGACTCAGACAATTTCTGAAGTACCGCGCGCAACTGGTTGCTCGCGCTGCTTGAGTTTTGGCGAAACTTTGGTTGAGACATCGGTAAATGCAGGGGTTCCGCACACAGAGAAGATGATTACAAGGCCGTCTACGGTCAACGTAGCCCCAGAATCACTCAGCCCAAGCTAACCCGGCACAACTTCCGTACCGCCCCGAGTCTCACCTCTGGTGTCGGGCTTGTCGTAGTCGTCGCCGGGGGCTGACCAGCTGAACGTGATGGTCTGCTCGGCGGCGTCCGTCTCGGCCCGCAGATCGGTGACCCGGTTGGGCGGGTAGACGTCCGCCTGCTGGTCAGTGCTCCCGAAGACGAGAATACCGCCGCCGGATGCTGACCTCCGCAAGCCGTTCACCGGCACCGAGGTCACGTTGCCGATGGTGGAGCCGCAGCACGGCACCTGGCCGTTGACCGGGATGGCCCGCGGCTGGGTCAGGTCACGGCCGGTCACCACGCGGGCCCGCGACCCGCCCACCTCCACACGCACGATGAACAGCTGACTGGCCGGCGTCAGGGAGCCGAAGTCGGTGAAGTAGCGCGAGTAGATGCCGTCGCCGTGCAAAATGTCCGGCACTGAAACAACGCAGCGCCTACCTTGTAAAGGAACGCCAGGATTATCACTTGCCATGCCGGATATATACTGGTGACAGCAGCGTTCGTTGTAATGCTGTTTCATCTGGTACGTGTTTTTTCTGAACATAAAGCCGTAGTCAAACATCAGGGACAATGCTTCTCATTTCAGGAGACAGGTAACGCTATGATCAAAAGCACTTCTACATTGCGGGGTGCCGGCTGAACATCCGCCAAACAACACAGACTGATTCATTTCAGCACGTCAATGCCAGCAGCAAAGGGCACCCTCCCGGAAACAAGGGCCATGACTTTTACCCACAGCGGACGGCAACAACCAGCTGAACTTGGAAAGCCGTTTACATAGGTCAAATCACACGAGCCACACGGACAGCTGCGGGACGCCTGCGGCGGCGCACGTGCCACTGGCTGGTGCCCCATACCTCCAAGTCCGTTGTCGAGCAGCTGGACCCGGACACTCTGGCCGTCGGCGCGTGTCACCACAGCGTACACCTCGGCGTCGAGCACAGGGGCGTGGCCGCGCACCACCTGATGAGAGGTCGGGGTTAGCTGCTGCCGGAGCACGGCTATTGCTGGCTCAGATGGCTCTCCGCTGACGTCTCCACTAGTCATGGGATCTATACGGCAACACAATGCGGTCACCATATACTCATACGCCAACACACAGGCGAGTACGTGCGTGCACACGCAGGGCGATCCATCGCCAGTTCACATAGCACACGCCGGATCACTGGACGGACGAAAACGAGCTTGTCACGAGCTTTCTGGGAGCCAGACGGTGACAGCTGTCATGTCTCGAACTGTCTCGGGCTGTCCTGAGGTATTACCAACGCTGGCAGAACGCGTGAGCGGAACATATATATCTTCCAAACACCCATCAGTTTATGGCCCCTATGAACATCCGCCACTCGCGCCGTTCACCTGTCATATTTTTGCTGCCGATCCTGCATTCGTCGCGAGGCATTTGTGACCCACTTCCCCTCCTCAGTTTGCCGGCACAACCACGCGCTGCCCACTCACCGACGCGTAGATGATGAGCGGTCGCTCCGTGGCGTTGAGCGAGCCGGTCCGGTCCATGTTGGTCCACACCTCGGTGCGGACTGTGTCCTCCGAGGACGCCGACGAGGACGTCACCTGGACAAAGATGCTGCTGTGCGACGGAGCCATGTTGTCGATCTCGTACTCCCACCGCCCTTGCTGAGAACGAAAGGTAAAGTACACCTTAGAGCGGTGAACATGACCAACTGTTACAATGAACAGTAGCCAGCGTCAATATGCAATGACCAGCAAAACAGAACGTAACTAGATCAGCACTGAAAGCAGTAGGCAGCAACCAGAAGCGGCAGGCATCCGGCTCGCACGTCAGCGCAGTCGGCCCTCGCAGGCGGCGCGGCTGGAGCGGCCGTGGCCGACGCCGCCACTCACCGTCTGCGCGATGGGCGCGTACTGCAGGTGGTTGGTGCTGTCCGGGTACGTGTACACCGTGTTCAGCTGTCCGCCGGGCGGTCGCAGCTTCACGTAGCCGATCTCGCTGCGCGTATTGTACAGCACCGTCAGCGTCGTGTTCACGCCTAGCGTGGTGTCGATGAGGAAGCTGCCGCGCGCGTGCTGACCGTTGCCCACGAACTGGCGGTCCTCCACCTGCACCCGCGCCAGCCGCTTGTCCGCGATGTACTTGTCCAGGGTGTAGACGTAGGCGGCCGCCAGCGAGTGGAACACCGTGATGCTGGTCTGATCGCCGAGGCGCACGTCCTCCACTGAGATGACGTCACCGCCCGTCTCCATGGCGACGCGCGCCAGGCCGGGCGTCACGGTCGGGTAGAACACCACCACCAGGCGAGCCTGAGGGGGGGGGGGGGGGGTCAGATGGTCTGCTGTCGCACGGACGTTGGCCACATTTGAGGGCATGTAACGATCCTCTGCATGAAGCAGATGATTCTGCGTATTTGACGTTAATGCTATTCGACGTCTGGATGGCGCGATGTAACGACAGTGGGGTAACATAGTCTACTGTCGCATATCTGATTGTGCTAAAATAATTCCCCGCCCGTCGATGGCAACCGATGGTGAAGGCAAGTTAGTCATAACCTTCTATCAAAATCTGCTCACATACACGATACACGATAGTACTTTATAGTACTCCGGTGCACAATAGTACTTGCAAAACATTCCTAGCGCAAATTTTGTTCCAGTCGTTATGGTGTTGGGTCATTTCTAGCCGGAGACAATAAAAAGTCGTGACGGACGACACTGCGTGCCGATGCAATAGCCACCACTCGCATCAATCCCAACTATCGTCCGCAGAAAAACCCAAATTGAAAAGCCCACACTTGCAGTGCCTTTCGCCACGCGCCACGTACAGAGATAGTACGTACAGCCGTGGGCTACTCACATGTCTAGCGTTGAGGGCGGCGATCATGTAGTCGACGTCTGCGGCTGTCGGCTGGTTGCGGCTGCTCTCCTGGTTGCCGGTGACCCAGATGATGGTCGCGCCGGCCGCCATCCGCCCCAGCGCCGCCAGCGCGCCGTCGATGGCCGTCGTCCAACTCTTGTAGGCCTCCATCACGTCGTCGGCGATGGGCGGCAGGTTGGCCAGCTCTCCGCGTCCCATCAGTGAGTTTGGCACGGTCGTGAGGTTGCGGTCGGTGCGGTAGTCGGCGCCGAAGTGGCCGATGCCCACCTGGATCCCCGTCGGCACGTCCCAGTTGACGAACTTGCGGATGGAGCTGCTGACGAAGTCCCAGCGCTCCTGCTGCCGCATCGTGGCCGTGCTCTCCAGCAGGAAGAAGAAGCGGTCCGTGCTGGCTTTGACGACCCTGAAGTCCACTCGCGGGATGGTGGAGTTGGCGTTCGGCGGGTTGCTGCCGTTGCGAAAGTCCTTGTGCTCCTGCATCACCTCCCACACCGAGCTCTCGTTGCAGAGCATGTTGTGTTTCGTCGGAGCAGCCTTGATGTGGTTGCCGTCGTCGCAAAAGTTCTTCACCTGTAAAACGAGTACATGATATGATCATATAACCATTCGTTTCGATCTATTTTATTCGATATACGAGTACCGGACTTCAGGCATCATACTTTCGGCAACACTGCACACCAATTGGTGAGACGATCGTGGCGTTTTCGGCCCCTCATCGGCTGAACATGTCACTTTGTTTCTGTTGTGCGGCAGTACCACAACAGAAAGGCCAGCGCATCACCACGGTTACAGGTTGAAATCCAATCCTGGGGAAGTTTGACGGGTGTGACCAAGAGGCATCTGTCCAACCCTCGAAACCTGCTGAAGTGAGCATTAATAATTCCACTTTCGACTTAAAATGCAATTTTTCATATCGTTTTCGTCCATACTTCGACCTTGACTTTCGGGCACGTTGTCTCCCAGTGTTCTGCCACCTCTCCCCCCTCCCCCCACACACACATGAATGGTTATTCCTCAAATCTCCGAGGAGTAGGTTACATGCATGGATCTCTCTAGAACCAAGCCAGACGTGACACGCTGGTGAATCGCCGCAGCGACCCTTCCCCAGAGCGGCCACAGGCACCAGCTCAAGCGCCATCTGCTCGCAGGCAGTTCAACGGACAGATAAGGCCGACTCGAGCGCCCCCTGTATGAAGACGGCTTCCAGCGCCGAACCGGGCGCCACCTTTCCACCAACGCCGGCAGATGTATCGACGAGATGCTCACCCGTTCTTTGTCATCTGCGTAACCACAGTTACCAGGCCGGTAGCCATAGTTACGCTCCGTAACCACGGAAACCACGCGTGCACCGCATTAATTGCAATGGCACGAAGGTCGACACCACCTATTAGGTGACGTGTTCTGACGGATCGGTCGCTGCAGCAGGACGCGGGCGACACGGGCCGCTAAGTCTGCCCCCCCCCCCCCCGAGGTTACTCAGCAGAGCGCGGAGGAATTCCGTCCCGTCATGTCTGCCCCATGGCCGCGCGCGCGGCACCACCGGAGGAAAAGGTCTGCACCGAAGCCCTGCGGACGTCGGAAGCAAACGCTGGGAAAACAGCATCTGCTTGAACAAAGGGGCGGGTGTGCGATATCGTCTTGCAGAGTCAGGCAGCGGACTTTCCTCGTCGGTGGCTGGCGCGGGCGGCTTCGGTTGTGCGGCCGGAGGCTGCCGAACCGGCGCACAAAGGACACTCTCATACTGAGGACCACAATCTGTCGTCAGTCAACAGTCGGGCGGCGGGGGCGCTCCGCCACGTACCTGACTGAGCGCCTGCATGTACATGATGGACGAGGTGACGGCCGCGTTGCTGGCGTTCATGAACGGCACGAAGGTGCACGTGTTGGAGCTCTCCTCGCAGCCCGACCTGCAAAACACGCCAACATCAAGTTAAAGCTTTCCATACGTGCTTCGAGAGCGGCCGGTCAAACGCGGACAGCGAATTTCCTTTATCGGAGGTGCTCCGGACTCGAGCTGGGGCCGGGCGGCTGCGTTATGCCTCGGACGCTGCCAGTTGGCGGCGGCGCAATAGTGGCGCAGCGCTCCAGCCATCCGACCTCAGCGTCTCCGTTACTGGTCATAACGGACAGGTGACGTGGTCGGCAACGTGACTCCGACCTCCCCCACCGGGGCTAAGCTCGGTGACGTTCGGCCAAAGTGCACGCCTTCATGCAAGGCCCACGTTCTATTCCAAGTTAACGAGACTCAAAGCGTTTAACCAATACTGCAGGAATGCCAGCCCGTACTTCACCTATACTTTCAACAAAGGGCACGGGAACTGCATTCAATACATGTGCTGCAGAGACACCATTGACCCACTGCGACCGTGAATTTGAATCACCGCAATGCGTTGTGACACTTCCAACGGCTCGCGCGTCCGAGCGTCAATGTCCAAAAACTACACGGTGACCGAAGGAATGCCATCACACAAATCACATGCCGCCGCACAGTGCAGCCGGCCGGTCACCCTCGCCGACATGCGGGTAGAACTTCGCTGGCCATGCCTGCATTTTCTGCTGCGCTATTCGTTTTCCGAAAATTCGGCTGGAGCCAGGCGTTTCGCCAGCAGCTGCGGGTTGTGGTACTCACGGTGAGACGGAGCCGGCGACGGCGCCGTCCGAGCAGCCGGAGGGGCGCCACTGGCCGGCCGTCTGCTGGTAGAACGACGGGTACAGAGGGTCCTCCGCGTACCCGAACTCCTCGAACACGCCCCACCGGTACTTGGCCCACTCGTGCACCAGAACGCGGGCTGTGGACCGAGCGCTGGGTCAGACGCGGCAAACGCTGCAAGCTCACAGTGTGTGATAACCCAGCACAGGCTGCCAGCTCTCAGTGCATGACACCCGGCAGAGGCTCCCAGCTCTCAGTGCGTGACGCCCGACAGGGGCTGCCAGCTCTCAGTGCGCGATACCCCGGCAGAGGCTGCAAGCTCTCAGTGCGTGGCATCCGACAGAGGCTGCCAGCTCTCAGTGCGTGGCACCCCGGCAGAGGCTGCCAGCTCTCAGTGCGCGATACCCCGGCAGAGGCTGCCAGCTCTCAGTGCGTGGCACCCGACAGAGGCTGCCAGCTCTCAGTGCGTGACACCCGGCAGAGGCTGCCAGCTCTCAGTGCGTGACACCCGGCAGAGTCTGCCAGCTCTCAGTGCGCGGCTCTGGGCGATGCCCGTCATGCGGCGGCGGGACTCGGAGCTCCCGCCGCCGCAGCGTCACGAGCACAGCCTCTCTCTGAGCTGGGAACTCGGACGGGGATTAACGAGGCCCCAGACGGGACAGGGTCTCGTGCGGGAAAATGACGCCTACAAACACGGGTTACTCGTACGGGCATGGGAAGAAACGTGTTTTAGCGTCTCTTTGAGCACGCCTCTGCTGCACGTTTATCTCGGTCGCATCTCGAAGTGTCTGCGGCGTCAGCTTTGACATATCCGGAAACATCTATGTGGGTTGTATGCTGCGAAACCGCATGCGACTACGAATTCTGTGATCGTTTAAGATAGATAGTAGCCAATATGTTATGTATGCACAATGATTTGCGAACAAATTACATTGTCGAATTGTGAAAAGTGATGAATAGGATGGCGGGGACATTTCGACGCACGTGGAGCTCACAGTCCATGACGTCACGCCCCAGCCGCGCGCTGACACACGTACGTTGCCGGCCAGCTGAGTTCTGCAGAGCGGCCGCCGGGCTTACCTTGGTCCCCAAAGGTGCGGTTATCGCCCGAGGCCACATAGCCGGCGGCGAACTGGACGAAGGCGCCGGGCTGACCGCACAGGCCAGACTGGTGGGTCCAGGGGGCCGAGCCGTACACGGGGTGAGCGGTGCTGACCCGCAGGTCAGAGGTCAGGTAGCTCTCGGTGGTGGCCTGACCCGGCGGGTCGGCGCCCGTGCAGCTGCGGGGCCACGAACTGGGCACCACGACCGTCACGTCACTGAAGAACGCCCGCTGATTGGTCGCCGTGTACAGGTAGGACGACGCGTTGTTGATCAGCGTCTGGAATAGAAGAACGCAGAGTTGAGGGTCGTCTGGCTACGCGACGAATCGATACAGCACCATCACTAGTCAAGATGACACCTGGCTCCGGTAAAATGTCACCTATATGAACATCCCGTGCAGACTCACAGCGCTCCACATTTGTTTACGATAAAACCATCCGTGGAGGTGCCCGTCGCGCACCTTACAATTAACGTCACGTGAACAAGCCGCCGGCTATGCCAACCCACCAATTAGACAGCTGACCCCATAAGTCGCTCAGCCGGTACACCCGCTCCAATCACCGCCTTGCTAACCGCTCTGTTTTCATGTACGGCGGGCGCCGATCTGACCTTGATATGTCCCAGCGGCGTCAGTGCGCGCGCATTCTCTGTCACACTAGCTGGGGGCGGCTTCGCCGGCTCGCTACCCGCTCTCACGTTGCAGGTGCGCGTCACACTCCGGCCTCAGCGGTGGAATGTTCCCCGAGTTAGTCATCCGTTGTGCGTGTGACCTGTGCCCGGCGCCAGCCGGTCGGCCTCGAAGGCTGCTGCGGCATATTCTCTGCGCGCGATCATCACGCACACCGCTGAAGAGGACGCGACCCAGCGCCGCCGCACGGCATTTTCGATTGGCGTTTTTTTTCGTATATTGAAGGGAAAGGGGAAGGAAGAGGGAGGGGGTATGGCCCGTCCACTTCTGAGTTGAACACAATCTGAACGGCGATTCATGTAAATAACCGATCTGGAACAGGAGCTCGGTCCGTCCCGTTTATCATGACCTTGCCAAAAGTCCGGGATGAAGGTGACATCCTGACCTCTGCTCAACTCAGCTCACCGTCCGTAGTGCAATACTCGACCGCCATTGAATAACTGCAGCCGGCGGGCGGTTTTAGCTGCCGGTAACTGGCGTCCCCTCGTCGGAGGTTTCCAGCGTGCAGTGCACGTGGCTCCACCCCGTCCTGCGGTGGATTTAGACCGCGCCGGCCGACCCCGCCCGCCGGCCTGCCCGCCCGGCCGTGGCCGATAAATAATGTACGCATGACACAATCAATGGATGGGAACAAAGGGCGGGACAGGGCGTGACGTCACACATCCGTTGAGCGGGTGGCGGGCGCGCTGCGCACGGTCGTGGCGTGTGGCGTGTGGCCGACGGCGGCGGCGGCTGGCGCTGCGGCCGTTACCGCTGACCCGTACCAGGTGCCAACCGACGGGGCGGGGGCGGCGAGCGCCGCCCTCCCCTCCCCCCGCCCCGGCCGTGTCCTGTTTCGCCACATCGGTTTGGTGGCCGGGGCGTGTCCCCGAGCTGCACAGCATGCACGATGTGGACCAGCAGGCGGGTGCAGGCCGGTCTCTGTCGAGTGCAGCTGTTTTCAGGCCAGGGCGTGGTTCGTTAGTGGCCTCGGACTAGCTCAGAGCTGCGGCACGGGGAGAGTCGGAGAAACAGGCGCTCGTGCCCGTTCTGTCCATCGTCAATGCAGTCAAATTTAAGCTTGTCTCGTCATTCTCTTGCCATTAAGGCTTCTTTTGCGATCGGTATAACGATCACAGTCGTTCAGGAGCCAATCACAGGGCCCTATCTACCGTCTTCCCGAAGCGCAATGGGGATTTTTCCTTAACACGAATGACATCAACCATGCTGACCTCAGAGCAGCGGCAGGTCGGCTCGTGCTGATCCGACCAACAGTGCCGCTGTGTTCGCCCGGACGCCGCCCTATCTACCGCGCTGACCGGCCCGTCAGTCTCGGCCCGGCGGTGACGAGCCGGAACACGTCACGCCCCGCTGACGTCACCACCGTCGTCACCGCCGACGTCGACGCGGATCCCCGGCATCGGCGCGTAATCCATGCGTCTACACCGCGTCCTGTTGACTCCAGATAGCTTTCTCCGGACGCGGGCAACAGTCGCCGCGAGTCAATACAGGGCGGCCATCCATCAGCTGACAGCGGGGGTCAACACGGGTCCGGCGGCGCCGCGGCCGGCGCGGGCGCCCATTGTGACGGCTGCGGCGCTCCGCCGGACCGGGCTGCCAGGTCAAGCGGCCCCCTGCCGTGCGGCCGCCGCGCACAGCCGGACGACTAAAAAATACGGGCGCAGGGGTGTCCAGGGGGCGGCCGGGCGGCGACGGCGCGCCAACGGAGCGCCCGCCGTCGCCCGCGGCCCCAGCGGTCCGTGCCGCCGCCGGTCTGATGGATGACGCACTGCGCCAGATACGTCACGGCCGCGCAGGAATTAGCCGGCCGGCGCGTGATAGATGGCACGCGGGAGTGTGTTCTGCGCCGGTCAGCAGCGCGGCGCGGGTCAGAGGTCACGCCAGGTCACGGGTCAGGCGCGGGCCCGCGGCCGGCAGCCACCGGCGCCAGTCAGCCAGCAAGCCGCACGTCAGAGCGGCCTCACCGTCGGCGGCGGCAGGTGCTTCGACGCGCTTGGCCGGGGCTAAAACCCTGTTATTTTCTGCGAGACGTTCCCCTCCTGTTTTCTCGCCGCTCGCTTGTTAATCCCGTTTGTTTCCATCGGGCCCAGCTGCCGTGACAATAGCGCTGGCCGCCTCACCGGCTCCGTGAGCAGCCGGCGGAGATAGCCTCCGTGCGACGGCGGCCCGCCCCGATGGGAGATCGCCTCCGTGCGACGCCCCGCCGCCGCGACATCCATATTTTTAGCACTCGTCCGGCTATCATAACAAGATCGGGTGCGCTATGCGAGCCGGTGTCCGGCGGGGCGCGGCGCAGCGGGACGGCCGGCCGGCCGCCGCGGTCGGCTAATGAGGGACAGTCACCAGCGGCGGCCGCCGCGGTGGCCCGGCCGGCCCCCGGCCCCGGCCGCCCCGGGACTCCAGCATCCCTCGGCTGGAGGCGCCTCAGGACGTCTCCAGCGGTCCCAGAGCGTGCCTTTCGAAGGGATTGGTCTCGCGTCGGCTTCGTGTGGCACCTCGGGCCAGTGGCGTTACCAGGCCGCGGCAGCCAGGCTTGGACTTCGGAGCGACGTATTTGCACAGCTTAGACGTGGATTGTTTTACTGTTGATAGTGGGCAATTCGGAAACAAAAAACACGCTATAAACGCTGTGCGCAGATACGCTGATACAAGAAAGCAGCAGCCGGCTGTTTTTTTTTTTGAGTGGTGGTTTCTGATCACCAGATAGGAACAACGATTGGCAGAAGTCGTGCTGTCCTGTGCACCTGATATCAGCCCAGACAACATTCACGCCATTTTCGCAGAGAGCAAACAGTCGCCGCTTCTGAACGCGGGCCCGGCATGGAGGAAAACCCAATCAGGTGTTCCGCACAAGGCCAGCGGTGCTGCAGGGTCCGGCTTCCGCTGGCAGCAGGGAGAGCGGACACACCTGGGCCAGCTATGCCGCTGCTCGGGCTGCCTGTCCGTCCCGACGCAGTGATGGCGTCACTTCAGACGAGGCCGTCGTCCGCCCTCTGGCGGCTCGAGGTTCCGGCCGGTGGCGGGGCGCGTCAACGGTGACCAGCCGCCGCTAACACGGGGGTCCACCGGCCCTGAGGAGCCCCGCCGCCGAGCCGGCCAGCACCGCCCGCAGGTGAGGCAGCCTCAGTCCTCCAAGCCGACAGAGCTCGTGGGCAGACGGCACGAGGCCACGTGACACCGACACGTGGGGGGTCAGGACCACAGTACAGCCGCGCCGGTGACCAGACAGTCTAGCCGGCCGGTGTGGTGTGAGTCGCCTCTTCTAGGCGTTCTCTCGGGAGGCAAAACAGACAGCGCAGACAGAAGCAAGACAGACAAGACGCAAGACAGAAGCCATCCGGACAGCCGTCTCGGAGCGCTCCTGGCCACATCGGCGAGCTTGACGAGTTAAAGGCGTGACGCCTGCCTGTCGTCCACTCATGACTCCGAGGTGCCACACATCACCGGCCACGTGCCACGCATAGCCGCCCAGCGGCTGCGTCGCCTTTCATGAGGGCAATTCCATCACATAGCAGCGCACTGGCCGGCAGTCCGCCTTTACAGCTCATAGCAGCGACAACGAGGCCTCGTGAACCACTTCTCGAGCTTCAAGCCCTCCAGGTTAGAGCCCTTAAATCAACGACGCCTGTGATATAGGGGGCTATTCAATGCTGTGGCGGAAGGTATTAAGCCAGTTTACGACTTCCTAATGTTTAAGACGGGAACGCCGCGGCTATCCCGACCCCGTTACCGTGTCCAGTGCGCCGACGCTGCTCAAGGTCTGGACACGGGCCAGGTTTCATAGCCGATGTTTAAAAACATGCCACCCATCTCACCCGACGTTTGATATCGCATGTCACGCTCATTTGCCGTACTTTCGGGTCTTAGTTGTGAAAAATAAACCAATCAACGCGCGTGTTATGGGTGGCAGGGGACCCTATTGCTGTTGGAGTTTTCCCAACGCACGATGTAAATCCTGGAGAGGCGGGCTCTGATTTTGTGTTGACGTGCGCCACGCCGAAACCGCCGCGGTGCTCGGCATCGCCAGATCTGGGCCATCTTGCATACCAAAGACGTCCTTGAAGGGATATATCGGGTCAGCCGTCGAAGATAAGCGGCCAGAGCCGCACCCTCGCACCACACCGCAGTGGGCGTGTCTCTGCCGGCGCGGTCCGACCCGCCGACAGTCGCGAGGAAAGAGGACGGCCTCCCGCGACAGGCACCGTGAGGACGTCGCGGTGCATGGAGCGGAGCACGACAGTGGGCTGGGGGGGGGGGGGGGGGGGGGTGCGAGCTGATCCGCCTGTCCACCGGCTGACCGCCGAGATCAACCTGCACCCATCAGCCGCCGGACAGGGGGCGGGCGGGGCCACCGCTGTCCGGCGCAGAAAAACAGCCGACACAAAAACATGTGCCAGCGATGCCCCCGTTGTCATGGTAATGAATGCAAGCATGGCAACTTTTTGTGCAGACGCTTAGAACAGCCAGGGCCTATCATTAAAGTGTTTTGGTCAGTAATTCTGGACCCATTTCGGTGTTTGTTCTGTCCGAGCGAGACGCCCGGAGGCATCCCGGGGCACGGCGGCGACCTCCAGAAGTGCCGCAGTTCG